CTATCAAACCAGCATGAAAAACTAACTGATGTGTATTAACTGCCACTCACAGATGTAGAGAAAAGAAGTAGAGAAAGCTGGAAAGACTTGGAAAAAAAAAAATTTTAAACTATAGTCACCATTCTAGGATTTTGACAATGGCTCGCTTTAGCAACAATAGTATTAAACTCATGGCCAACTAGGCGATTAGGTCAACTATATGTACGATGTGTTAATAATCTTTCACATTTTGTCTCAGTATGCTTAAAAAAAGATAAATATTGTTCCTGCACTGAGGTGCTTTCATCATTTGAAAGTCCCTAAAGTCAACACTTGTCAATATGTTTACCAGGCTACCTGCATGCAATAACAATAATCTTTTGCAAATAAAAAAAAATTAGTCTTTATTTTGCTTATCAGGCAAACTCTTCACAATGTAGGAAACATGAATTTCTTCAATTTTTCCCCCAAAAAACTATAAAATCACCCGTGAAGTTGCGATTTAATTTAAAGGTGGCTGATTACACCTATCTGAGCCCATGGATAGTTGGGTGATTAGGGTAAATTAATTGGAAGCTGTGGAAAGTTGGTTTTAAAAAGAATGATGAGAATACCCTGGACAGACAAAAAAGAGTAATGAAGAATGTCTTGAAAGAAACTACTCATACAGAGAACCTATCGCTCACACCAGTAGAAGACAATCTGCATTCTTTGGCCATGTCATGAGAAGGAACAAACTGGAGTACATAGTGACAGAGGGAAAGCTGGAGGGGATGAGAGGCACAGGTAGATCAAGAGAGAAGATACTCGACATTTTGAAATCAGGGCATGGAGGAAAACCTGAGTCAGAGCTGACTAAAAGTACACAAGACAGAAGGTTGTGGATAGACATGACTACCAACGATAAACAACATCCACTTTAAGAAAAAGAGCCAAAAATAAACAGCTGTTTTAAGGTCATTTTGCCAGCTATTGATCAAATGGAGACAGGCTGACTTGTTAACTCTTCAATCCTAAGCAACTCACCATGTGGGATTAGCCATCATTTATTATTATGAAACAGTTGTTACAAGGTAATGTGTCTTTTCATGTGGTCTGAGCATTCTTAAAAAAAAATATGTTGCTGTGCATTTTCCAAGTGTGTAGATTTGTGTGCATATGTGTGTGAACACTCTCGTTCGCACAATCTATGTATCTAATATTTACTATATTTTACCTGTCCATTGGTATTTGGAGGGTTTTGTTGCGAAGGTGAATGAACAATGCATGAAAACAGAGAGCCTCATATACAGTATCACTACATCTAGTACGAGAATGGAAGTAATGGTGGCGTCTTTCTGATAGTTTGAGAACAGCACAGGCCGACATGTTGTGGTTTTAACAGATGCAGACTTTTAATCAGGTTGCAGCCGGTACTATTAGCATGTCAACTGTTCACTGGCTACTGAAGAAGAGGACGGAGCACGTGTGGGAATGTCCTGAGTGCAGTAATGACAATTCTTGATTGATTCATTTTATTAATAATAAAGATATCACCACAGTATAACACACTTTGTTCACAGCTTAGTGCCGAGCATACTTTCCTGCCAGTCTGTTGATCCTGTGTTTGAATCCCCAAAGAAGTGGGGATTTTCTCTAAGTGACCTGGACTGATAAGCAGACAGTCTAAAACGAATGCCAATAACTTTTCAAGGAAGTAAAGTTAAAGTTAAAAGTTGAGAAGATCCATTTCACTGCATTGAGTTTTATCTCATAAGGCTTGGTCTCTCTCCACGGAATGGCTAGCTGCTAACCACAAGTGTCGCACAAAGCACAAACTCTGCAGCTCTGGTGATAATCCCCAAAGACCTCCATAAAAACTGCACTTTTGAACTGAATGACGCAGACACGAAATGAATTAATGCTTTCATAGCATAAGACAAATGGCTTGACCACTTCGCCACGGAGATACCCAAAACTGGAAGCAAAATCAATAATCGCCACATCAGACACTGAGTGCTCACTTATCTATACATATGTGGATCTAGCACCATAAATCTAGTTCCTCCCAAGGCATGGAAATGGATCATTCACTTTTACTTAACACATTAAAAACTATGATATGGTAAACCCCGTTAATATGAACTCACTTAAGACTAACATTCGGTTAACATGAAGCAAATGTTGGTCCCAGCAGGGATGTATGATTGTTATTAGACCCCTGTTAGCACACATTTTTTAAGACAAACTCTTGACTTTTTCGATTCCTTAGAATTCGTGTTAACAAGGTTTCACTGTATTTCATTTTAAATAAGCTTATTATCACAAGGAGAAAACTTGAGTACATTGTGACAGTAGGAAAGCTGGAGGGAAGGAGAGGCAGAGGGGGACAGAGAGAATAGATGCTGGACAGTCTGACATCACGGCATGGAGGATCATTTCTGTCAGAGTTGGTTGAATGTACATGAGACAGAATGTTGTGTATAAACATGATTACCAACGCCACATGGCATGGACTTTAAGAAGTAAGTAAGTACATGGGACAGAAGGTTATGGATAAACATGCATGTTTATGTATATTTGACAGATCAACATCATGGCACAGAGGTGTTACCCATAAGTGCTCCGTTCTACTTCTAACTCAAGCCTGAGTCTGAAGCATCTCAGCGCAGTGCACGAACTCAGTAGCACCAGCAAGGATCCTGATAAACTCATGTGTGTACGATAATAGTGGCAGACGTATGACAAGGGGCAGTGAACAATGTATATAATTAAGTCTAACATATGATCAGTGTTTCTCACAGGCAACCAGCCATACTATGGAGACAGACCCAAGTCTAAAACGATGAAACGCAGAGCAATGGATTCTATCACCTTTACACACCCTTATTTAACTACAGTGGTGGCCACAAGTTTAAGACCACCTAATAAATTACAGATTTTCCATACTGTTACAGAGTACGGCATTCACAGCTATTTCAGGGCCCATTAAACACAATCATTGCAGTAATCATTCTGCCATAAAAAAGCAGCTGATGAAATACTCCATAATACATAAATAATAATTATCTACTAGGTGGTCTTAAACTTCTGGTCCACACTGTAATTGGGAAACAGCTAACCGAAAACATAATCCAAAAACCCAAGTGATCTTAATTTCCTTAAAAACACAGATCAATAAAACTAAAATACAAAAATTACTAGACTTATGCCCACAAGTGACACATTATTGAGGGCTATACTTTGTATTAAAATTAAAAAAAAATGTATTACTCATAATAGTATTCAAATACAGCAGTTAAATAACAAAACTACAAACCGTCTTCAAGCATTCATAAAAAAAAAAAAACTGTATAACAATGAATTATGCTACAAGAACAACTCTTTCAGTGCCACACAGTTGTTACTTAAACACATTCTATCCTTCCCATGTGGGTCCTTAAGGCCTCTAGTAGGCGAGGGGGAATAGACCCATTGCCCCCTAACAAGCATGCTATAAAAGGCCACTAATTAGAGGGTTTACTTTCAAAATCAGATCAGATCCACCAGAGAGGCGAGAAACTAACAGTCTACATACAAATAAGCCTGATCTGTTAAACAGAGGTGGGCACAAAACGCAAATTTTGGAATAAGACTTAAGTCCAGAGGTGGATGAAGTTCTCATGTAGAACTTTTCGCCGGAGTTTAAAGCCGGTTAACATTAAGAAGAAGAACAGCTCATTCTATCCAAAGCAGTCATTAGGAAGTCTTTTGGGGCTAAACGTGTTCACATAGTATCTCTCTTGGACAGGACGTGTTAAGGTAATAATTATGGTATGGTAAAGTGGGTTTATGTAAAAAGTGAATGAGGCAGAAAAGCTTGTCCAATATGTGTTAGCTCCTGTGGTGTAGCGGCTAGACGCTCACAGGTCATGGGTTCCGGTCTGGTCGTAGCCGGATAAAAATGACTTTGGCTCCCAGGTCAACCCAGCCCTAAGTGGGTACCAGGTATAATCCTGGGAAGTAAAAGTGGGCTGAGAGATGTTGACCTTATCACCCACGGAGTGCAGACTGGTCTATAAAATACTGATCCAGCCCTATATGCCCAGTCCATTACTCACTTTACCTTGTCCATATATGTGGCTCTATGCACAGAGGTTAGTGAGAGTGTTTAAAATTGAACTTCGGGCACCAGGCTTTGATTTCCATTGCAGATTGTGATTTTCGGACAGTGGTAAAAGAGTTACACCGTGGAAAAAACTGAAGCTTTCACCGTGTAATATTCCTAAAGATAGCACTGAGTACACTGTAGCCAAACAACTTTGTGGAGATGGCACATACGTTTGTGGGGGGGGTGTGGTGTGTGTGTGCCCCCCAACCCCCCACAGAAATTTCCTAATAAACTTGTGGTTAGTTGCTTGGTAGTGTATGAGTTTAAGCAGGGGAAACAATACTTTTTTTTTCCAACTTTGTTATGTAAAGAAACTCAAAGAATAAATTAAAAATCAAAATAGCAACAGTACCAGCTAACAAATTCTGCTTTATTTCTAGTATAAATTTCATAAATTACTTAGAAATTCCAAAAAGTAAATCAAGATTTATTCTTATAAACCAGCTAATGGAATCATGAATGAGATCACATACTGCTCTGACTGAAGCCTGCTGGTTTCTTTTGAACAGGAAGTAATTATAGTTAAATGAATGGATAATTTTTTGTTAAACATAAGGCAAAAACAGATTATATTTATTCAAGATGGTGAAAGAAAGCTGAGGGTTATATGTACTGTCCTGGCCGTTTTTTTTTCTTCTTAACCACTTGTGGTCATTTGAGAATACTGTTGGCTTTTAATTTTGTCCTGGTATTTTAACAATACTGACGTTTTTTCTGGCCGTTTGAGAATGCTTTAAGGCCATTTCAGAATGCTGATGGCTTTCAATTTTGTCCTGGTATTTTAAGAATACTGATGTTTTTTCTGGCCATTTGAGAATGCTTTAAGGCCATTTGAGAATGCTGATAGTATATATATTTATTTTCTCCCTGACTATGAACTACAGATATAGCTTTATGTATTTAGTAACTGAAGACCATGTCCTGTGTCCAGCTGTCGTGGTGGTAGCAAAGTCATCTGCAGCCATCGCAACCAACGAAAGATACATCTGGAGCAACAAAACGGAGAACACAGTCCAGGCAAATTCAACAGCTTCATCAGTGGTTTCATCGTAGGAGGGAAGTTGGTTTTCCAGTAGCTCTCAACATCCTCCTTTGTTGGCAGATGGAAGGAAAAGTCTGACCAGTTGCTGGACACTTTGTACAAGGCTCTAAGGGGGCGTGTTTTCGATGACCAGTCAATGTCAACTTCTTGACCATTGTTAAACTTCACAAAAGCCTGAGTAAAAGTGCCGACTGAGCATTTTTCTCCTGTTTCAGCAGAATCTACTCGTGTAATGTACCTTATTGAAACAAACAAATTAAACATTTGTAACAAATAATCACATGTGAATAATTAATGCGAGTCTGGCACTAATTTCTAGGAGGCGGAGTTGCTGCAGAACCTCACTGGCCAGAAAAATAAATCTTGTCTCTGATGGGAATTAAACCTGCACTCACCTCTGTATTCATCCTTACCTGCACAGGAGTGCAGGTTACACAGGGCTGGTGTTGATATTACAGATGCCCTAATTACAGTAACCTACAGTCCAGTATGGGTGGGTGAGCTTGTGTGTGGCCGTTACGGGTGCTCTAATTATAACTTTTTGAAGGCTGAAAGTAGTATCTAGGCTTGCCCTTTTGGTCTGTTATCGACAATGAAACTGTTTTTAGTCTTTTAAGTCCTGCTGGCCTGCGACCAACACCGAGGATTATTTTTAGTCTTATAGAGTCAAACCTTTCAGGTCGTTGGTCTGCCACAAACAATGATACTATTTTTAGTCTTATGGTGTCAAACCTTTCAGGTCCTGTTGTTCTGCTACCAACGACGAAATTATTTTTTAGTCTTACAGTATCAAACCTTTCCTTACCTGTTGGTCTGCCATCCAGACTGAGAACTTATGATCTCAGAGTGTCAAACTTTTGGGGTAGCAGCCCAGAGGGGGTAAACAGCATGGACTGACCGCACTATTGGCAGGCAAGCATACTAACTATGCCACATGTTGACACCATTCTCTTTCTAGAGGATAGTGTTTCCCCTGAGCTAAAGGGAGGCATGGAATATTAGCCCATGACAATGGCAAGCATGACTAGCAAGACTCGCTCTTGTTATGAAGAATTGTTTAGACTCGCTCTTGTTACGAAGAATTGTTTACAATAAGTTCATGAGCTTCCAGGACATCTTCCTGTATTTGACGTGTTTTTTTTTTCAAATGTTCAGCTTTTAGCTTGTCTGAAGTCCTTTTCTTCTATGTCCCTTCCTAATTTTCCTCTCCTATGCAATGTCATCCAGTACATCCTGTTCCCAAGAATATATCTCAATACCTGTATCATACATATTCTGCTTGCACAGTTTTAAATATAGCAGAGGCCAAGGTTGACATCTTTTACCCATCTGCAATTCATAATAGAGGATGTCCTTAGAGAATCTGCCATCCTCCATCGTCTGAGTGTCCTAGCAATTTGAGCCTTTGAAGCCCATGCCATGAAAGCTGCTACAGTTATATGTCAGAACAACCAATCAACTGCATGGAGAGCACAAGGCTAATTCCAGTAAATCAGGAAGTGAGGAACATGTGCTTAGACTGGAAATGACACACTGAAAAAAAAACCTAGTAACAGCATAAGATTTAGTTCTTGCCTCCAATTGCAAAAGAAATAGAGTAAAACATAAACAAATATATAAAGCACATAGAAAAAGAATTACAGGCAGAAGAATTTTTTTTTTTTAAAGCGCTGGGCTTGACCTTAAAATATAATTTTAACCTTTATTGTTTTATAAAATTGATATAAAAATCTGGGAAATAAATTACCTCAATCAACATCACCATTCTTTTGTGCTGTTTATATTTGTGGCGTTTTTTTTTTTTAAATTATAACTCTCAAAATAGCTAAATACAAGAATTAATTACTTCATTCAACAATCACATCTAAAACAACTAGTAAACTATTTTCTGTGTATAAATTTCATTTATCAAAAACAAATTAATCTTGAACATACCTGCATGTCTGGACTGCCACGAAGCAGTTCTTAACAAACTGGCATTCTTGTGCCCACTTATACGAATTGGCAGTGTCAAGAACTAGAATCAGTCGTGACCCTGAATCATTATCCTTGTTAGAAAACCAGTTCACCATCATTGGAAGTGTCAGGGCCTTGTCACCTGATCAACAACAACAATAAAACTCAGATCAGTTAAATATGTGAAATATATAACTATGAAGATGGAGCAATTTAACAAACATGATGCTGTTTATGAGTCAGTTTGCCATGATCTTCTTTTTCTTCTGCATATGTCCATATAAGGTGACTTGTGGTTTATAGCTAGACTGTGATATATGCACATTTCAGCATAACATACCAGCTTTCAGCCAATCCTTAATAAATCACCTTTCTACAATATGCCTGTTAAGATGCAGTGGGTCCATTCCTCCCCAAAAATGGAGCCCTGGAACCCACTAGAGAAGCCTTGATGACCAGACACTATACCTCTGATAGAAGTAAAGACAAAGAAAGTAAGTAAAGAACCCTTTTCCACGCCTTCAGGCGTACTGGGCATATAGGGTTAGACCTCAATTTTATAGACCAGTCGACACTTGATGTGGTCAACATCATGTCGGCAGCCTTTACCATCCAGGATTTCCCCTGGTACTCATCTAAGGCTGGGTTGACCTGGGAGCCATATTTATTTCTGAAAGAAAACAGTTTTTTGGCTCCGTCAGGACCTGAACCCGCGACCTTCAGATCCGCAGGCAAGCGTCTAGCTGTTATACCATGGCAGCTCCCAGAGACAAAGAAATGTGAACACATATCTTAGCTATCTGCGAACAGCAATTACCTGACAAGGCCCAGTCTCCCGTATCATAGACATCTCCACTGTAGTAGAGCAGGTATGTATCATACCTCGGCCCATCTGATGTCCGCGTATTAAAGAATGCATTCAGCTAGAAGCAGTACATTGAAGTTTATTTAAGGGCAATTTAGAATAAGCAATTATTTGAAAAAGTAATCACTTTTCTGTATCATCTCCTTTTTTTTCACATTCACTGGCTGTTAACTTTGGTGTGAAGTTCTGGTTGCTCATCCATTTCTGGACTTTAGTCTGGTTGCAGAGCCCGAATTTTGCATGCATGTTTGTTTTACAGATCTGGCTTATTTGTATGCAGACTGTTGGTTCCTAAACTTTCATGCAGATGCATTCTTCTTCTTCTTCTTCTTCTTCGCGTTCACCAGCTGTACACTCTGGCGGAAAGTTCTGGTTGCTCGTCCACTACTGAACTGCAGTCCTGCTCCAGAACCTGAGTGTTGCATGTGCATCAGTTTTACAGATCTCATTCTCTTGAATACAGATTGTTGGTTCCTTGCCTCTCCGGCAGATGCACTCCAACTTCAAAGGAAGCTCCCCAATTAGTCGACTCTTACAACATGCTTTTGGGGAGGCAGTGGGTCTATTCTTGTTTTCCCCACAATGGGGCCCCGGAACCCACACGGGGGAGACGCATTCTGATTTAGAAGAAAACATCTCTAATTAGTCAACTCCTATTAGATGCTTGTTGAGGGCAGTGGGTCTACTCTTTTCTTCTTTTTTTTTTTTCGCACAATGGGTCCCGGAACTCACATAGTGAGGTTTTCTTCATTATTACCTTTCACGTCCAAAGACACTTCTGGTCCTCATTTGACAAGGCTGAGCCTCTTTCGCAACCTGAGTGGTTGTAGACAAACCCAAAACAGTATTTCCTCAACTATAAATGAACCAAGAGGTCTATGAAATCAATTCTTGGTACATAGAGAATTGTGAAATGTGTTCACTAACATTTAAACCACTGAGCCACATTATTAAACTACAAAAAATTTTGTTTTATAATTTCAATTTTCACACTTATCTGCTATGTTTTATATTCAAATTTACCAAAGCAGATACAACAACCATTCTAATAGCCATGCAGATTCTCAAATATGAAGCAGAACTAACTAAATAAACTCCTATTTTTACAGGCTCAAAGTTAGTCTTCCAAGTAATCATCACATCACATTATCAATTTCCACTTCTGCTGTTAAGCATTGTGGGGATGAACAGTTTGCAATCCATTGCTTGATGGGCAGCAATGGCTATTATCATTCTGTGTCAATTTAGACGTTCTTTAATTTCATCAATCCATGTTCTTCTAGGAAGGCCTCTTGCTTTCACTTCAGATCTTTTCATGTGTAGTGTCTGTGCTGGTGGTTGTTCTGGCTGCATTCTCACTATGTGACTAAACCATTTTATCTTCTGTTTCTCAATGAATCTGCTGACGGTGATGTTCCAACAGTCTGTCTGATAATATCATTTCTAACTTTGTCTCAGATGGTGAAGTTGGCAGCTTTTCTCAGGCATCTAATTTCACAGGTGTTAATTTTACATAGGTTAGTCTTTGATAATATCCAAGTCTGGCACTGGTAGCACAGTGCTGGTATGAAAATGCTGTTTATAATCTGTTTCCTGGTCTTCATACTTATGTTTGGATGTCTTAACGGTATCAGTTGGTATATAAGGGCATTGACTCGTTGACATATTGTATCTATTTCCTGATCTACTCTTCCGTCCTCTAAGAATATACTGCCTAGATATTTAAATTCTGTAACTTGCTTCAGACAAGTACCATTCAACCCGACATGTAGCAGACTAGGAACTCTGCTGACCTGTATTGCTTCAGTTTGAGCAGTATTTATTTCTACAAGTCATCTTACACTCAAAATATAACACAACATTATCTAGGAAGAAAGGACAATGTGAAGCTGAAATCTAGAAAAAAAAATTCAACTACAGACCATCAGCACAGCAGTATATATAAACCAGGCAGAAATTTGGAGACCAGAGTTCAGACTTAGAAAATGGGCACTATAAACTCAAAGCACTACATTTACTGAGACTGTGTCACTTGCAAATGAGAACCAACAAATATACTACAGCATGTCTTATGAGACTACATATTTTACCAGGCAGAAAGAGGAAATTTAGCATATATTATGGCTTCAAGACACTGGTTACCAGTGGTGACCTCAAGCACATCATTCTGTTTGTAACCCATCTCAGAAAAGACGCACAGCAAACAATGATCAGTAAAGAACTGATGGATACTATTTGTCTGTTAAATCTGAAATCTATCTTGATGAGATCCATTAAACTGAGAGTTTAGCATAATAATAAAATAAATATACTTACTGCAAGTAGTCCAGCAGTCTGACAATATATCATTAAGAAAATTGGGTCTCAGAAATTTCTCATTAATCACGGCTACATCTAAATGTTTGGCTGGTTGTTGTTTTGGAATCTTCAGAAAGCATGAATTAACCCTGTCACCACAGTAATGGGTTATATTTGGGTTATAACTAAGTGGGATTTCCTTTAAACAAAATTTTGTTTTCGCAGGTGACTACAATTTTTTAGCAAATGTATTTATCTACTTTTTTAAAATAGATTTTTTGGTAAAACTATAGATATGTGAAAAGAGTTTATCAATAAATATCAACACATTGAAGCATTAAATAGATTAAATTCCCGGGACCTAAAAAAATATCAGGCGCGTTTAATAAGTAAGCCTCATTTGGCCACAGCGACAAACACTGGTGGAAAACGTAAATGTGCATATGCAGTGTGTTTATGTGGTTCATCAGCTACTGTGTGCTATTTTTGTCACTGTCCAAATCTTGTGAGTGATTTATGAGTGCAGCAAAAATAAATACTGCCACCAGCTTCAAAATTTGTGCGGTCATCCGTTTTTTTTTTAGCAAAAAATAACAGTGCTGCAAAAATTCACAGGCAACTCATTGAGGTTTACTGGCCATATGTTATGACTGATAGTACAGGTAGGAAAGGTGTCGAATGTTTAAAGAAGGGCGAACAAATATCCATGACGAAGATCTCAGCCGTCGGCCGAGTGTGGTGACAGATGATTTGGTTGAAGAAGTTAAGCAAAAAATTCAGGAAAATTGTCATTCCACAATTTCTGCATTGTCTGTCAAATGTCAAATTTTCTGAAGTTTCACCTTCACTATTTTTAGGTAATATATTCATATTCTGACGCCCTAAGATTTGCGCAAGTGCAAACTGAGCCAACAGAATTAACTAATGTGTCTCGTAAAAACTGTAGATAATTCAGAAAACGGATATTTACATCTTGAAACTACTGGAGTGAACTTAGAACACACTTCCCCCTACTCCCCAACCCAATAGTGAAATGTCATGTCTACAGGAAATATGTTGCAAAGCTCTTCTTCCCTTGTCAATATTAAGAAATGTGCTTAGTCAGCAACACTGCTAAAGAATTTCCACACTTACTGAGGGAACAGTGATCTCTGCAACTTAGCCACATAGAAGACCTACACAGTGGATAAGCTACAACATGAAAGTGTCCTGAGGTCTTCGTCTTCTTCAGCTTCAGAGCCCTGAGGTTGCTTCAGATATCACCTGCCTCCATATCCCCCAACAATAATGGTTTGGTCATCTGGTCAGGATAGAACAAAACCAGCCAGCAGCTAGAGTGTTCTACATGAGAATGGCAGGCTACAAAACAAGAGGCCAACCAAGAAAGAAAGGGGGAAGTCAGTAAAGGAGATACTATAGAAACATAACATAATATATATAAGCTACGCAACTAACAAAAGACAGGAAACTACATCTAACTCCACTTTGTGACGCTTTATGACATAAGCAGTAAGGCAAAGGAAGAAGATGATCAAAACCCTCCATTTATGCCTGTGATTGTTCTCTTCTTTCCTGTTAGTGACTCCAAGGTCTTGGCCAGTGTATTATCTAGTAATGATCTTGCAACCTCAATGGACCCTGTCAAAGTTACTTACCTTATTCTGCAGGTTATCCACGTCTAAGCCACTACTGAAGTAATCACAGCCAAAGTTCTGAATCATGTGGTAGTGAAACAGCTGCTGGATTTCGGCCAGGGTTGAAGTGCCTCTACTACTAATGTCAAAAACATCAGAACTGGTTAAAAGTTGTGCCCCTTTTCCTTGCCTGTGAATGATAGTAAAAACAGAAATCAGTGTACTTAGTATGAGAAAAGTCAGCAGGGGTTATTTTAGGATTATCTTCTTCTTCTTTCCAAGCCCTTGAGGTTCACTGCTGCAGATATCACCTGCCTCCATTCATCTCTCTGGTTGGCATTCTTTTCCAGTTGGTGACATCAAGTGTTTGTAGATCTGTGTGGGTATTATCTCTCCATTATTTGCCTGGTCTGCCTCATGGTCAACGAACATTCATCTCCCTTGTGTGTAGTTTAACCTTTCTGTATTCTGACATTTTCTCAATATGCCCTAGCCAGTGATCAATGATAATTTAAACAGATTATGAATTTCCTTGTTGCTTCTCATTCTCCATTCCCCACTGTCGCAAGACTGTTTTTTCAAAAATTTTTAATAAGGCTTCATCTCTTCTAGTTGTGCTCCAAAATTCCATATAAAACGATTGGTCTTAGCTTTTTTATATATTTTGATCTTGGTGTTGCAAGATAGAGACTTGTAGATTATAGTGATACTCCTCTATAATTTTCACATCTAAACTTTTCTCCTGTACTTAAAAATGGGTATTAATAATGATTTTTTCCACTCATGGGGTAATTTATGTGTCTCCCAAACTAATTTTTTTTAATCCATGTATCTTTGAATGTAATACATGACCACTTTCTTTTATAAGTTCAGCAGCAATTCCATAAACAACAGTTGCTTTATTGTTTTTAAGCGGTGTTATGACATACAGTACTTCTTCAAAATCAGGCTTTTCTGTATTTGGTTCCCACGTAATATCTCTCCTTGTGGATAAATATTTAGTAGAGTTTTACAATTTAACAATTCAGCAAAATATTGCTTTCCTCTGCTACATATTTTCTCATTATTTATAATTTTGCCATTGTGATATTTTAAATTATATATGCTGTGCTGATGCCCTCGCTTTACAGCCTTCAGTTCTTTTCAACAACAAAACAACTTTATGGATTCGTTGTTCTGACGGTTAGCTTCCATGTCTGTGAAAATATTGTTCCTGTATTCTCGCTTTTGCTGCTTAACTACTTTTGTAGCTTCTTTACATTCTGTTCTATCTTTTTTTTTTCATTTCGTTTGTTGCTAGTATCATTTAGCCACATCTGCCTGGCTTGTTTTTTCTTACTGACTGCACCTCACATTTTTTATCGAACCATCTGTTCTTTATGTTTATGGCTGACACACCAAGACATTCTTCTGCAGTGATTTGAATTATATTCTTAATATCCATCCAGGTTAGGTCACTGTCTTTCTCTGACGAATTGTGTAAATTAAAATTTTATGTTTCAATTCATCTGCACATTTCTCTGATCTGGATGTTTCTTGTAACCTTTCTCTATTGTACTCTGGATGTGATCTCTGCAACTTGATGTAGAAGGATTTCTGAAGCTAAATTTGGAATTTTGCACCAACTAGGTAGTGGTCACTATGGCACTCAGCTCATCTGTAGCTTTTAACTTGCATGTTCCATGCATGCATTTATATTATTTATTAAAATGTGATCTATTTGATTTATGTTACCTTGTCAAGCTGTTATAGGTGCCCTATTTCTCTGGAGGTTAACAAAGTATCTGAAATTTGCCTTGCTAATTGGTCAGCCATCCAAATTAGGAGAATTTTTTTTTTTTATCTCAGGCAGGTGAACCTTCAAGCAGCAGCCTGGGGTGAACAGATTGATTGATCAAACACAGACAAATGTGTTTTGCATATCCTGTGATCTCCAACATCATACACATTTATATATATATTGCATGTGCTGATAACTACACATGTCATGACAAAGGACTGTGAAGAATCTTTTCTTGCAGTTTTATCATATCTTTCTATTCATAAATCTGTCTAGATGTCACATGTTCTGGTTTTTCTCTCTCATAATGTGGTTAGAACATAAATGATTCCTGTCTTCTTCAGATGTTTGCCAAAAGCTGTATGTTGAATTAAGAATCAACATCACAGCACTTGGGACACCCCCATAAGCGCTCCGTCCCCATCTTCAGCAGCAAGCGAAGCATTAAAATTCTGATGGTACCAGTAACTGTCTGATTGTATATCCGTCTTGCCTTTTCCCTGAGTGTCGAGCGTCGGCCAGATTCCCTTGTAACTCCTCCGCACTCTTCACTCTCTCCCAAAGGGTCATCACAACATCCAGCATGTCATATATCAGTTCACCACCAAGTGTTGACAAACTGGCCAATCTATCTGCCTCCTCATTTCCTAACACACCGACATAACCTGAAAATATCCAAAGGATGCTAACTACTCGGGGCATATGAAGTGATGCTTGCCACTCTGCATGAAGCATTCCTGTCTCCACCTTTCTCAATATGCTCTGTGAGTCAGTTACAGTGATGGCATGTGTGTACAGCTGATTCTCAAGCCAGCAGAAGGCAGCATTGACTGCCTCCACCTCTATTCTCAAACTAGACATTGTGATATATGTCAGGCTTTGTTGCACCAAGCGATGTCCATTCGCCTTTGCTATGAATACCCATGCACTTTGTCAGACCCTCAACACAGAGCCATCTGTATTTACAATCACATCACTTGGGCGGGAATTGTCATGAATCATTTGTTGAACTTCTGACCAGCTGGCCAGTCCCTGCACTCACGCCCCAAAGTGATTAGAACCCTACACAAGTCTGAAACCTGATCAGACACTTTGACCCACTCCTCTCCTCGCCTAAATGTATCAAGCCCGTACACATGTCCAATTGTGTCTTCAGCTTGCGCCATCCAAGACTTTCCTATTTTCAGCCTGTGACCCTTAGCTCTACCCAGGGCTTCATGCAGGAGGTGCCTATTGTCCACAGCTACTCCGAGATATGACTTTTTTCTTGCAGAACTTTGAGCCTATCTGAAATAGTATATATTGTATATATTACATACATACTACAGGGGTATCTCTTGTAAATCCCAGAATTACCCGCATGGCTTTATTCTGTATGTGTTCAAGTTTCATCAGCTGACTCTTTGTTATGGCAAGCATGCCAAGTCCATAATCTATCACCGACAGGATCACATGCTGGAACATTGTGAGAAATATTCTTTGTAGTTCACAATGACCAACCAGCAAGGCAGATTTCAGATACCTTGTTAACCTCCAGAGAAATAGAGCACCTATAACAGCTTGACAAGTTGTATGTTTAGCTTCAATCAATTAATCAGGTGTCCTCTTTACAATAAAGACTGGCTGCAATGGATTTTCAACATGCCCTGTATGTCACCCTTGATGTCTCAAACTGCTGTTTATCCATCTCTTGATGTTATTTTCCCACTTGTATCACCATTTGCCTCTTACTTGATTGCCTTCAACTTTTCTCTTTTTATGCTCCTTCTGCAGCTTTTTTTATTTAAGTTTCCTTCAGAACTTGTTTATTTGACTGCTTCTGCTTCCATGAAATATAACCTATTCTTCTATATAAACACATCCCCAGACTCAATAAAATTTTCTGTTTGCTTGTTGGTTGTTCAGGTATTTGTCTTTGTGTGTCTATTTCAAAACATTCCGGTTACACAGATAGTTGACGACAACAACAACAAAAGATACCACAGCATAAACTAGACAAAACTAGACAAACACAATGAAAAATAACATCAAATTAGGTATGGTGTCCTGGTAAACATTTACTTCTTTACACACTATACCCACCCGCATCAGATAGCAGGTTATTTAATAAGTGTCGAGTGTCCCAACATAACTGCTTTATACATAAAAACAGGATTTAGGGAATTTGCTGCTGTCCTCCCCGTGTGGGTTTTGGGGCCCCACTGTGGGAAAAACAAAAACAGATTCACTGCCTCTCCAACAAGCATGTTGCAGGAGTCGACTAACTGGGGGTATCCTTCGAAGTCAGAGTACCTCTGGCTGAGAGCCGAGCGACCAAGAGTCTTGCATGCAAAAAAGCTAGATCTGTGAAAGAGATGTGCACATAACACTCAAGTTCTGGAACAATTCTGTGGACGAAGAAACAGAACTTTCCATCAGAGTTTACAGCTAGTGAACACGAAGAGAAAAAAAAAAGAAGCTCCCATAATATTCACACCAAAATTTATGTCCCACTGAATTACTGGAAGTTAATTTTTCAAAATACAATCCAAGAGAAGGAAAATTAACAACAAAAACTTACTTAAGGGAAGTAACTGGTGCTATGACAGCGTAACCAATGCATGTTCCTCCCAGCTTATCTCCCATCTCCCAGAATAAACTGACAATTGCAGCTTCCACTGGCAGCACTAGGAACACCAAGGCAAGCATGTATGGGGTTCGAGTCTCAAAACCAACCAGAAAAATAATGACAGTTGTAACAAAAGAAATAAAGATAATGCGTTGTGACACCAATCCAAAATATCGCAGACCTGAAGAAAGAAAATACAAAACAATGTGGTAATTTAAATACACAGCAAAAGCATAGACACTGTCACATCATTAAATAATCTTTTATGTGCAAGATCCACCCACATGGGACTATAGATTACTTCATAACCATTTTGTGGTTAGTTAGTCTTTCCTCTTGAGCCTAGGGTGGCACATAGGGCAGAGGTCATAGCTCTTCATGTCTGGCGGCTCACTGCCACCTGATTTAGTCTTAGATGGCCATGACAATTGTTCTACGCAGGGTCTTCCTTGGTCTTCCCCATTTTCTTTTCCCTTCCATATGAGAGTCACTTCTTGGATGAAAGCGACTTGTGCAGTGACTTGGTTACACTGTTACTTGATAAAAACTACAAAGTAGATGTGGTCAGAGCCCTTTGGGAACAAGTAACAAAGTCAGAAGAGAAACTGCATTATCATGGCCTGGAGAGAATGATGCACCTGGTTGTGGCTGGCTCACTAAATTCAGAGGAAAGACAAGACGGACATATAACTGCGACTGGTACCGTTAGTACTGATAATCTGCCCCGGCTGCTGAAGATGGGTACAGAGCACATATGGGAATGCCCTGAGTGCTGTGATTTCAATTGTTGACCTCAACCCAGCAACAACAAAAACAAAATGTTGGTGAGAAAAAGTTGTGCAGTGCCAAAACTTCACTCTCTCACTAGTACCCAGAGTCATTTCTAAACAAACACAGCCACACACATATGCACGCACGCACGCACACACACACACATGCATGCACGCACACACACACTCACAAACACTATGTGACTATAAACAACAAGCAGAGGAGAGTAAATGTGACCAAAGAAAGCTGAGAATTACTGCTGATGAGAAATCTACAATATATAATGCCATAAGCAATGATCACTGATTACTGATTTAAGAATCAACATCATAGCACGCCGAGTATACCCACAGATGCTCCGTCTCCAGCAGCAAATGTCTATTTTTTTTTTTTAAAGCCCCACTCTGGCTTTTGCCAGGGGCCGCAATATAGGCAGGCCTTAGATATGGCAAATTGTCTGAACGCGGTTTCTGGGACCTCTCCACAGTGATCCTCATCCACATGGTGGCACTTTGTGTCATCGGGTGTTTATCGCTTGTGTGATGTCCTAGTGGGGTAGAAAGTCACTCAGTCAGCAAATGTCTGAAGATGTAGATGCTAACTGTTTCCGTAGCACACTGATTATACACACATCGTGCTCTGCCTCTACAATCTTGTCCTACCTTGCCGGATTCACTCGCAATTTTTCATTCACACATTCTTACACATGTTATATCCTCTCATCTGGTATCTTGTGTTTGTGTGTAGTATGTGTGTTAGTATGTATGTATGTATGTATGTATGCATGCATACATACATGCTAACATACACACACACACATGAATACATGTATGTGTATATATGTGTGCGGCATATGTGTGTGTATGCACGAGTACGTGCGTGCAATTTACCACCATGCTTTTGTGGGTTTTCCCCTTGATATTCATAATGTGCATATTATTCTTTGAACATAGCATGCTTTATTGATAAATTACAGCTGCTGTGTGAAAGATATGTGCTTGGAAGGGCCGAATGTAAGATGGGCCTGCGTGCCCAATTTGTAACCCTTTGAAAATAAAGTTTGTTTGTTCGCTCGTCTTCTGACAACATTCCTTCATATATGGTCTTCAGAAAATCTTCCTTGTCCAGTACGAGTGTTCCCATATCTATCGATTTTGTAGCCAAAAAAATCTGCTCTTTCATTTCCTCGTACTCCTGCCTATCCATATGATTCCCTGAAAAGGTACCGGGTAGTTTGATATTATCTCCAGGTTATGCCAATGTGTTGGGAAATGAGCAGACAGATAGACTGGCCGGTTCTGCTCTACTTGGTGGTGAACTGATGTATGACAGGATGGATGTTGCGAGGGCCCTTTGGGAGTGAGTGAACAGTGCAGAGTAACAGACAGATCATTACGGTATGAGAAGAATGGCACTGCGAGGAGTTACAAGGGGATCTGGCCGACGCTTGACACTTGGGGGAGGGGCGAGACGGATATACAATCAGACAGTTACTGGTACCATCAGAATTTTAACTCTTCACTTGCTGCTGAAGATAAGGACGGATAGCTTATGGTGTGTCCTGAGTGCTGAGATGTCGATTCTTAATTCAACATTTTGGCACCCTGATACTTGGTATCCACTCATGCAACATTAGTCCATGTTAAACCATGCCATGAGCACACATCTGAAGAATGCAGTACAAAACAGACATAAAACTGAGAGCTGTTTACCCAACAGGTTAGTTGCGTATCCTTAACAGGACATTGCAGAACCAACCCCAACAGCCCTTGGCTGTTGTGTGGTTTTTCTAGGCAAATTTACGTCCAGTAGTTTGCCATTGCTTTCTGGACGGTCGGCTTTCTTGATACCACTGTCGAAACCAACGCAAGGCACATGGCCCGCAGCTGGGATCGAACCCGACATCCCGGCATTATGAAGTTTACCCAACAACATGGAAGATACATGATACACACGTAAGTGAGTAAAGAATGCTTTTCATGCCACTGGCGCATCAGTTGGAATATTGTGTATGGACCAAAAACCGATCAATGGTTGATGCTGACAACATCGTGCTGTTCCAGTGTTAACTTCCTGGGTCATATAATGGTACACATTTTGGGCTGGTTCAACCTGGGAATTTCATGTCTATTCGAAAAATTTTCCCAAATGCAAAGTGAAGACCTTAATGATCAATGATGACTATCACAGCATTGCGGAGAGATCCGGTGGTGCTTCTTTGATGATAAAAAGAATCAAGTATAAATTCTCAAGATGAGTCTCTCTCTCTCTCACTCTAACACACACATGCTCATACTAAATAAACAAAGTTTAAAATACAAACACTGGCAATTACCTTTAGCAGCCATGATTCGATTGAAGCTGCGTCTTTCATCAGAATTGGCATTACACTCTGTAATTTTCCCCATGAGTTTCCAGCAAGTAACAAATGCCATAAAGTGGAACAGAAGCCAGATAATGGCTAAGGCAGTGTATACTGGAAGAACTATATACCATTCTTTGTGCTTTGTTGTTCGCAGCCCTATAATTACAGCAAGGATCAGCTGAACGGCAAACATCAATACAACATATGAATAACGTATGAAACGTGATTTGCTGAAAAACTGCCGCCACCTGTCTATCATTGACAATTCACAGAAATAAAAATCAATGATCGATGGAAATGCATGTCTGCCCACAAAGCAGGTTAATGCAAAAATATTTGGTTTGACTTCAAGAGCTGGGAAAAATAAAAATATACCTACAAAAATAAAAGCAATAAAACAAAGAAGTCCCATTGTGGATTTTAGTCTCATAGCAGAAATGTGAAAAATATATGCAAGGGTGTTCAGGGATAGAGCTACACTATCAACTCTAGTTAATAAACTGGCTATGATTAGTCCCAAAGACTCCAAACCCTCCGAAACTGTCAAAAGCTTTGCCTCTGCAGGAACAAGTTTCAATAAACGTTCCATAACATTCCAACACCACCCCAGCATCATGCTTGTCATAAACATAGCTTCCATCACTTCTTCCAGTGTGACATACTGCAGGTGAACATTGTTGGTGAAAGTCAGTATTCCCAGCAGCAAACCAACCCAGATGTGAAATAAAGCTTTCCCCAGATCTTCCTGTCCAAAGTAATACCGTAAAGCACATGACATAGCAAAAATGAAAGCACCTAAAATTGCAATTATGGATATCGTCATATCCTCTGTCAAGGACCAGCGAGTGTACAGGCCCATTCCTAGGGCAATCACCAGTATGAATTCTGGTACGTAACTCACATACTGAATTGTTGCTTGAGATTTCACTTTGGCTGCAGACACCATGATTCTGGCTGAGATATGTACAAGACAGTATTTTAATCTCAACAATAATCTGAGTGAGCACGGTTTCAAACTATCTCCAACAAGCACAAGTCTTCTCTTTCTAGCTCTCAAGAAGTGCAATATAAATGACAGATTCATTTTATGGTAAACAGTATCCTTGGGAATTCCATGTTTGCCAACATACCTTGCACCATCCGCTGTTTAGTTCTATTCTGAGAGGATATCTGCAATAGACAAGATGAAAAAAACAGTGTTTATAGAGAAATTGTGATAGAAATGTCTGTCAAAGAACAAACAATACTTTCATAGTTTATAAATATTACTTGTAAGCAAAACTTCTTTTCTATTTCCGTCTTTATTACAGCATAAGCAAATTAGTTTTGGAACAGCTAAGGTATGCACCTTATACAACAGTGTTTTTTCTTCACTTATGCCAGTGATTGATTATTTGTGGGCCAGGCTTTTTCATATTTAATTTTTTATTTCCCTAATAAATTAATGAAATACCAAAGTAAGGTAAAAAGGGAAGGGGTTGAGCTTTTCTTTTAGTAATCATATTTGATAAAGCCATCTTTACTTGTTAAACCTTTGGACCCATTAGAGATGAAAAAAGTGAAGTGGAGAGTGAAAAGTTACACAAATGCACACACTGTAATGAGCGACAATGTTTTATATAACTGAAATTATATGCATTATACGAGGGGAAGAAAAACTAAGGGTGATAATAACTTGAATGTTGAATTAAGAATCAACATCACATCCCTCGGGACACTCCCATAAGTGCTCAGTCCCCATCTTCAGCAGCAAGTGAAGAGATCCAATTCCGATGGTACCAGCAACTGTCTGATTGTACATCCATCTCATCCTTCCCCTAAGTGTTGAGCGTCGGCCAGATCCTCTGGTAACTCCTTGCAACGCCATTCTCAATGAACCATAATGATCTATCTGCGCCTCTGCCCAGTTCACTCTCTCCAAAAGGGCCCTCACAATATCTAACTTGACATACATCAATTCACCAAGTGGTGCAGAGCCAGCCAGTCTATCTGCCTGCTCATTCCCAACACACTGGCAAAACCTGGAAAAAATATCCAAAGGAGGCTAACTACCCGGGACATCTGAAGTGATGTTTGCCACTCTGCATTAAGCATGCCTGTTTTCACTTTCTCAACATGCTATGTGAGTCAGTTACAATCACGATAATAACTTAAAAACCGTTTTTTTTTACACATTATTTTTTCCAACACTGATGCACTCGTCCCATCGTTTTATGTCTCTCCCCCCCCCCCCTTCCAATATGCTGCATGGGACTATTTGCTGTTTTCTAACACAAATTTTCACTTCATATTTAATGTCTACATCATTCGTGAAGCGTCTCCCACCAAGGTGGGTTTTCCGTAGATCAAAATGGTGGAAAATGCTAGGGAGCTAAGTCGGGGCTGTAAGGTGGATGTTCCAGAAGTTCCCATTTTGTTCTAAAAAGGCTTATTGTAAATGACTTGGCTGAAATCAGGGGTTATGATTAAATAAGGTTGTACTTGCCAATTTAGCAAATCCTGATTTCGACTATCTTCCAAATAATGGCCCCAAATTATCGAGGCAGAAAATATACCCTTACAGGGCCTCAGTCACGTGTCAATTGCGCACTTCCGGCGACCTAAATTGCGCACTTCCGCCACCGCCGAGAGTATCCCCCTGCCGCCTGAGCGGCGTGGATTGGGGCTAAACTAGATAGCTGGGACTCACGAGCAGCAGCTACCGCATTTCCTGCAGCTGCCTTGATTTTATTTGCTCGTGAGTCCCAGCTATCTAGTTTAGCCCCAATCCACGCCGCATGAGCGGAGTGGGTCATACTTTCAGCGGTGGCGGTATAGTGCCTAGAAGTTCACAATTTGGCGGTGGCGGAATAGTCCCGGGAAGTGCGCAATTGACACATGACTGAGGCCCTGTTAGGGTATATTTTCTGCCTCGATAATTTGGGACCGTTATTTGGAAGATAGCCCTGATTTCTATGTATGATGCAGTGAAAAAGGATGCTGTATATTAAAACCCTTTTGAGGTTCTCCTTGCAATAACGGTCGCTACTTGGATGGCGACGACCGCTTAGTCGGAGTTCAGTCCCCTGGCTGCAGTGCAATTATGAAGTGGACAAGGCACGAATCACAAAACACACTGAGTTCACCATGGCATCTAGACCACGCGCTGCGACTCACATTAGCCTAACCTTAATTATGTCATTTGTGTCGTTCCCTCTTTTCCACTCCATAATTGCACTGCAGCCAGGGGACTGAACTCCGACTAAGTGGCCGTCGCCGTTCAACTAGCGACCGTTATTGCAAGGAGAGCTCCCTTTTTAATTTCTGATAAAGTCCTGTAGCGCTATTTTCAAGTTTAGATGTTTGGTTCTGGAGTTTCTGATTTTTTTTTAAAGTATTTGGACAAGTGTCAAATTACTTTCTTTCGGTGAAGACAGCTATATTTTTCTCTTTATTTGTCACTGTCAACAGCCTTTCTGCTAAAGTTTTTAAGGTCTTTACCTCTGCTTTAACGTTACTTTAGAATTCTCCAGTGGCGCTGTGTTTTCATAGTAGAGATGTAATGTGAATCCGTCTATTTGCATTGTCTGCTAAAGTGCTAAACTGCTAAGTTTATTTTTTATTTTTGTTTCCGATCCCTTAGTAAAATACGTGTCAGGGTGATACTTAAGTAAAGTTGTTTCTAGAATTTAGCTTTACTTTCACACAGACAAAAAAACAATTAATACGATTATATAATTATTAAACTTAAACTATTCAAATTAAAGAATCGAGTCAAACTAAACAAAGTTAATTTGAAGAAAAAACACAGTCACTCATATCCGCCTTTAATATTGTAGAATGGTTTTAAGAAACGTCCCTGTGGCAAACACTAGCACATCTGTGTTTATTCGCCGCCACAAGGCAAGTGGTGAATATTAAAACACTACAAAAATCCATTCACGATAAAGCCACACAGAGAAAACCCCTCACTCATTGACAGATCCACCAAGTCTCACTCTCAGTCAGAATTGATTCTATGAAAGTATTTTAAAAACTAAACTTTATATGATTGAAACAATTTATTTTTAGCTACCTGTCTAGAAGGAGTAATCATGTTTTCCTCTCTGCCATCGCCGATGCTAATTAGAAACTTGTATGATGTTTTTATGTGTGCCAAATGCATGATGGTCTTAAATCTTTTCTCTCTGATTTCCCATTTTCACTAACTATTTTACGAAAATTGTAACAATAGTATTAGTATTATTAATTTCGTTAAACTGTGAATTCGTCTTTTTGCCTTAGATACAGGAAGTCTAAGGAAGCCGTTGCGACAGACGCTTTGTTATTGGCAGTGCACCCGTTCCGGCTTGTCCGTTCTTCTTATTAAAAATAATTCATAAAAAACAGTTTAACAAAACACAATGAGTGGCGACATTCAAGGAGCCCATGTTCTTCTGTCAGTCGAAGCTGAAGCTTACGTTGAACACCTGGAAGAGTTTGACCTAAAGGACATAGGATCTGAAAGGTGAATGAAATGTAGTAGTAATTAATTATAATAATAATAAATAATAATCTGGTAATCTGGTAATCCTAGTTTCAGCTTCATAGCAAAGGGGTCACCCCACATATGCTCCGCTCCTGTGCCAACGAAAAACAAACGCAGCTCACAGTGTCACGCCATGCACTCAATTCAGAAGCTGGGTGACGAAACTACATCCTTCCAGTCTACAAATGGACCACACAAATAATAATAATATGTCGTTTAGAGAATTCTGTTTACTTCTTTGTCCTGCAATCTTTATCCTCTAATACTAATAGAATGCAGTGGTCACTCTAGAAACAGGTTCCCTACGTTGGGCCTGGCCAAGCTAGAGGGGTTGATATTTTCTTTAATGTTGGAATGCATTTGCCTGAGAGGCAAGGAATTTACAGTCTGCACACAAATTAGCCAAAAAAAAAATTTTTTTAAAGGATGTGTATCAATGCTCAAGTTCCGGAACAAGACCAAAGTCCAGAAACGGGCTAACAACCAGGATTTGCTGCTTGTGAGCGTGAAAAAGATAAACAGACCTTTCTGGCTATAAATTAGTCTAACAGTACCTGCTGTGATATCACTAAACCTTTATTTCTATAAGTGTTATGAAGGCTGTCATGTTTGACCATCACCAGTATCCTGAATCACTGCAATGTTTTTGTCTCACTGCATCCATTTTACTAGGCCATCCAGGTATTTCTTTGCTTTTCTCTTGCTCTCTTTCCTTAAACACTTCCAATTGTTACTAAGTTCTTCCATTGATTCCTTCTCATAACATATCCAAAAAACATTGATGGTTTATGTCTAATTGTTCTAAGAAGTTTATGACTTGCATCTGTTTCCATAAAAACTGCTTAATTTGTTTTTCTATCCTTACCTGGTATCCTTTGCATTGTTCTCAGAAATCACATCTCTGCCTTGAGTAAGTGTTTTTTCACCTTGTTTAGGTAGGTAGGTGCTTTGTTGGGGAAAAATGTCTTCACATTCAACCAACATCCCTCAAGTGGGGAGCTTAAGATTACAATTATGATTAGGTTCAATGCCTTGGTATTGCACGTCACCAAGAGCCCTTAAAAGGACTCCTGCAGTATTGATACAATCAAAGGAAGCAGACCTTAATACAGTCCCAACTGGCAACAAAGTAATCTACCCGGTTGCCGATGAGTGACATTTTGTTTGCTTTCTGTCCATTTTTCACATTCATAAAACAACACTGGTTCTACACGTCACTTTAACACTCTTTGATATACCAGTTTCCTTTATTGCCTATACCAGATGGCATCAACAGCATGAGCATCTAGAAAAGCTGAATATGCAAGCAGTCATCAATGCATCAGCCAAGGAAGATGAGTTTATTAAAGAGTTTTTCATTTCCTGTGGCAAGGTAAGTTTTGATTATTTCTCTGTTATCTTAAAATTAAAGCTCCTTGTGTCCAAACCAGTTAAAATCAAAAATACTTGTTACATGAAAGTGGGTCTGTTTTTCCCCTCTATAATGGTGCCCCCAAATCCACACAAGGAACCATCCTACTCTATTCTAGGGCAGCTGTGGTAACTTAGTGACTAAACCTTCACCTGCCAGCTTTAAGGTCTTGGGTTCAAATCTGCACTCAGTGGATTTAGGAATAAATTAACTTGGCTCCCAGGCCAACTCAGCCTAAAATAGGTGCTATGGAATATCTTGGAAAGTAAAGGCAGTTGACGTCATGGTGAGCAAATAACCCATCAAGATCCGAATGATCTGTAACAAAAAATATGAGTCTAGCATCATATGCCCAGTGCACCACTGGTATGAAAATTATCCTTTACATTTTGCTGCATTCTAGCTAGTGTTTAAACTACTTTTATCCAAACCAATTACCACCAGATCACCCAGTTTTAGTTATTGTTCTGCTTCTGTCTCAGTACCATTAGCCCATTATGTCTTAGTTATTTCTTTCACTACATTTGTGCATACTAGCTAGCATCAGTCCATTTTATTTTAACCTTCTTTTATTTACTTGCTTGAAATCAGCATGTGTCTTTAATTCTGTTCCAGCATGACTTGCGCTGTTGTTTTTCAGATCCTGCAGGCTTACAGTGTTTTACATCTAGGGTTATTTCATTCAAACAAGTAAATATTTGTAAACTATATTAGGGACACTGTTTTAGTATTTTTTATGTAGTTGGGTGTCATTCCTCACAGGAGCTGTGGAACCTAAATTAACTCTCACCTTTAAGAAACTCAAGCATGTCGTAAGAGGAGACTAAGGGTAGGGTTGGGCTTGAGGTTGGCTACCTCACCCTGTAAAAAACAATAGCCACAAAAATCAACCAACCACGGATAAGTCAAAAAAAGAGAAGCAAGCAAAACACTGCCAACCAAGATGAGGGGAGGCTCTTCAAGTTGAAGAAGTATGGTACAGAGTGGAAAAAAAGCCGAAAGGAGTCCGGATCGTCAACATACTTCTTCTTACCTAATTACAAGAGATGAAGAAAAGATGCTGGCGTTGGATAGGAAACACATTGAGAAAATTGGAGAAAAAATAACTAGAATGTCTTTGTATTGGTACCCACAGGGGCATATGAATAAAAGAAGGCCAAAAAATACATGGAGAAGGGAAGCTGGAGAATGAAGTAAGAAAGATGGGGAGAGCTGCATGCGATAGCAAAGGATAGAAAGACTTGGCCTGAGTTGGTTGAGAGGCCTATGCTTCATTGGAGGCTAAAAAGGCAAAGAAAAAAGAATAAGAAACTCTTTAGAGAAAAGCCCATATCACAGAAATTCCCCACTCCATCCCCCCAAAAAATTACTTAAAAAGCTCGGGTCACACTAGTAAATTTTTAAACAAAATCAGCTATGTATATGTATTTTATTTTTATTTTGAAGAGAAATACATGAGGAGGAATAATCAATAGACACAGACAGTAGTTCTTCTTCTTCTTTGTTCACCGGCTGTAAGCTCCAGCGGCAAGTCTTGGTTGTTCATCCATTTGGGCTTTGTGCCATGACCTGAGTTATGTGTGTACATCTATTTTACTGGCTCATTTGAATGCACCTGGTTGTTCCTTGCAGCTCGGGCAAATGCAGGCCGACTTAGAAGGAAGTTCCTATAAGTCGACTCCTCCAACAAGCTTGTTGGATAGGCAGTGGGTCTGTTCTTGTTTTCTCCCTACAATGGGACACATAAACATACGGGGGAAAACAGTAATTCAAAAAAAGATTCATACCATGACCCCAATCACTAAAGGCTGAGAGAAAATTATGACGTTTTCAGGACCTAGTGTGACTTCCCTTGCCACTCATGCCTCCTTAGGTCACTGGACCTCTTCTATGTTGTGGGGGAGTCATGTTTTCTTTTGTGTTTATGAAACCGTTGCCTCTTTTTTTGTCCTCTCACCATTCACGTGCGTGATTATTTGCACATTCAGCTACCTGTGCGACGGTTCGGGAGTGTGGAAACAGTGATAATATTCTATTCCTATGCTCCTTGTAACTGCTTTCTTTCTCTCAAGGAAAATACATAAAACATCTCAGTTTCGATAGCCAAGAATTGTCATGCCCTCAGCTTCCCCCCCCCCCCCACCCCCACCCCCCACCCCACAGTGCTTCATACTTGTACACTGGCACCTGCAGCACCGAAATACTCACAACACAACCTCCCATAAACATTACATACGCCTAGCGAATGCCAAAACAAGCCAAATCATAACACCCCATCAACATAGGACAGGCCCAGCGACCTAATGAGGCATAAATGGCAAGGAATGTTACTCTAATCCTGGGCCTGGACACGTGAAGAGGTCCAAAAGCCTTTTTTTTTTCCACAATTAAACCACCCCACCTCCGCCCCTCCCCCTTTTTTTGTGTAAAAATAACCTTAATGCTGCTTTTAGTATGTGTTATCATATAAAGAGCTCTTATATACTGTGTAGGCACAAACAGAACTGTAGTCATTTGTGCTAGACAGAGGAGGAGGGGGAGTTTAAGAAGAAATAAAAGATGAAGTAATCCATTAAAATAAATATACAAGGAAACTTCATTGAGGTCAAGGTGGTTCAAAGCCTGATTTGTTTTGCATCTGTTTACCACAGATTCCACTGCTGATTCAAGATCTTCTCACAACAGAGATATGGAAACAGAAAGTGTTTACTGAGTTGATTGATATGGAGTTTGAGCCAAAAACTACATTTCCTATCTATATGGTTGTATGTACACATTTGTCATTTAGTTTTCTTCTTTTTTCTCTTGTTTTTTTTCTTTTTTTGTTTGTTAATGATTCATTTTCTTATACTTATTTCTTGATTGTTCAAATGAAAGTAAAGAGAAAATACTACCCATAATAATGTCATTTTTTGCCCGTAATGCTAAATATTTTAACCCTACCAGACCTGAGGCCCTGAACCTAACTGGCCCCTATACCTGAGCTCCTGGGCATTAACACGAAAAAACCAACATGATATGTAAAAAATATTAGTTACGTGCAAACAAGTGGTTAGAATAAGATGAAACTTAGAGACATTGTAGAAAATAGGTATACATTTCATTTAGCGCCAATATTCGGCTTTTGTGTACCCAGTAGGATTAGCTTTGTTTCACAAAGTGAGCACCAGATGCTGTTTGAGGGACACGTCCCTTTCTCTTACTATCGATCTAGTTTTAAATCTATAATTTTCAAGATTCTTCTCATCACTTGAGCTCTCACTGACTGTGTCACTGCAACTGGGAACGTATTTTTCACAAAATTCTGGCTCCTCAGAGTTTGAATAAATCAAAGTAATGATCACCTGTTGGACTGTGTAATGCCTAGACCTACTTCACTTTCCTGTCGAAGTGCTTGGTTTATCAGCCGCTCGTTTCATTGTGAATTTTTATAATTTTTTTTCCTTTTAAACAACACAAAGTAAATCCAAACACACATGGGCAGCCATTTGCAATGACTAACCACGAGGTTTGATTGCTTATTTTTAGTTTGTGATGTGTTTTATCACGTAGTCCACAAAGTACTAAAAATTGGGTACAGCTGTTTAGCGGTAGATTAGAAAATTACAAGAAAAGTGGTACAGCACTCTGTAGAGCTAAAGATGTTTTTACTAAATGATCAATGCTCGTTTCATTGTGAATTTTTAGAAATGTTTAATGTAAAACAACACAAAGTAAATCCAAACACACATGGGCAGACATTCGCAATGACTAACTACGAGGTTTAATCACGATTGGTTGTTTATTTTTAGTATTGTGGTGCTTTTTATCACGTAGTACGCAAAGTACCAAAACTTTAGAACAGTGGTTTAGCGGCAGGTTAGGAAATTACCAGAAAAGCGGTACAGCAGTCTGGTAGAGCTAAAGATGTTTTTACTAAATGATCTATGCACAACTTATTTCTTTCATTAAATATCACTGATTTTTGTTCTGGAAATTTAGCACTAAAGCTCATCTTTTATTTTGATGTCTCCCAAATTTAAAGATACAAATAACATGGCGTTTTAGTCATGTCAAATTAGATAAATGGACAACTAGCTATTAACATCAAATGGAATGAGGTGTGTAGTGCAATCTCAGTATGGCAAAGCAGGTGTCTGAACTCCCATTTAGAATGGAATTAACTATGTATGTTTGTAAGGCAGATATTTATAAAGAACATTTGCTGAGAAAATGAGAAATCTAGATAATGAATTATAATAGTTTCTTCTTCTTCTTCTTTCGTTCGCCTGAAATAAGTTGTCTATATCAGCAATTTTGTCTCTTGTATAAATTTCACTGTTGTTGTTAATTCATTCAGTGGTCCATAGAGTTTACGTTCCACTGTTGTTCTTTCTGGCCCAAAGATTTTCCTAAATGTGTCAAATTCGGTGCAGTCCTGGAGTACATGCTCTGCTGTCTGGGGCACCTTTCCACAGGTGCACATGGCTGATAGGCCTATCTTGAATTTTGTGTACATGTGGTTATGTTGTCGGTTGTGCCCTGTTCTGAGACGGAGGATAATGATTTGTTCTGATATGTCCAAAATAAAATAGTCGTCTTGTGCTGGGGCTGGTGGTTTCCTGATTGATTTAATGATTCTTTTCTTTTGGTGTTATGTGACTGGTACATCCGGCTGCACTTTTGTCGCACCTTCTCTTGCTAGTTGATCAGCTTTCTTATTTCCAGGCACTCCACAATGTGATGGTATCCACTGCATTACACCTCTTTGCTGAAGGCTAAGTTGTGTCAGCAGTGTTTGCAATTTTGGTAGTTTCCTAGACTGTTTCCTAGTGCTTCAAGTACTGATTTTGCATCTGTCAGCATTACCACATACTGAGAGCCAAGATTGGTATTTAGCAGTTTCTCTGTTGCTATCTTGATAGCCTGAGTTTCTGCATCATAGTTATGGCAGTACTTTCTGGTTGGTACGCTGGACTTATCCCTAGTACCATCTGGAAATTCTATGTACACTCCAGCACCACCATTTCTAACTGCACTTTCTGCGGACCCATCTGTATAGACTCTGACCCATTGTTCTTCTGGGTTTTCTTCATCAATATAACTGAGGGTGGCCATTCTACATATTCTTTTTGCTTGATGTATAAAGCTGCTTCTTTTTAACCATCCCAAGGCTAGGTTCTGAAATCTATTTTTCATGGGGTGATCTGGCATACTGAGGAACTTTTCAGCTTGTATTTGCAACTTTGTATCTCTGCGTTCTCTCAGTGCCTGTGTTTTCACAGCTTTCTCCATTTCTATTATGGGAGTTGATTTCATCCCTCCTGTGATGACTCTGAGCGCTTGATTTTGCACTTTGTCCTACTCCTTTAATGTGGTACTAGATGCTGAACACCATGCAGTTGACCCATATTCCAAGTGTGGAAGTATGCTCTGCTTGTATACTTTATTGAGTATTTTCCCACTGGCTCCCCATGTGGTTCCACTTAGTTTTCTTAGTATGGCTGTCTTCCTCCTGGCTTTGGTTGCTGCCTTGTTGACATGTTTTCTCCATGTCAACCTGTCATCAAATGTGACTCCGAGGTACGTGGGCTCTTTATCATCTCTTAGGGGTATTCCGTTTATTTTGATGGTGCCCGCTTTTTGCTTTGGGGAAAGAGTGAAGAGTGTGATGCTACATTTGTCTGTATTGATGCTGACACACCATCTATTCGCCCATGCCTCAAGTTCATATGTAGCCCGCTGTAGTGTTCTTGTTGTTATCGTTGCATGTTCATCTGTGCACCACAGTACCAGGTCGTCAGCATACATTGCCATTTTGATTCCATTTGGTATTTCAGCAATCAGGTCGTTGATGAATAAGAGGAAAAGTGTGGGCGACAGGACACCACCTTGAGGGATGCCATGTCGCAGTAGAACTTTTTGACTTTTTAAACCATCTACCTGTACCCGGGCTATTCTGTTATGTAGATATGCTTTAATCCAATTGTACATTCTTCCATTTTCTCAGTTTCTTCAAAAGCCCCTCCTTCAAAACCTTGTCAAAAGCTTTCCTTAAATCTATCCATGCCGCGAGTACCAGTTTCTTGTCTTGAAAAGCATCCTCTATTTCATGGGAGAGGTATGTTGTCTGGTCTTCCATAGAGTAGAACTTTCTAAAGCCCGCCTGTTGTGGTGTAATGATGTTTTCACTTTATAATAGTTTACATGCTACAGCAATACTTCTCTGGCCTGTAACTGGAGAAACCATTTGTTGGCAACTTTCCATCCCTGTAGATGATAGTGTTATACTGTGCCACAGGGAGACATGAGAATCACAGCCAATGGTAATATTTAATTAAGGCCTGGAAAACAGTTCCTCCTTTCCATATCACTAAGCCTGGGCAGTATTATGTAGACCCTGTGCTGCCCATGCAGTATGATCACTCCCTCATCCTCCCTTGTTTATTTCAAAAGAAAGATAATACTAGTATGTTTTAAAACAAAGCATGCCACAGAAGTTACTGGATCGTAAGAGCTGTACCCAGTCCTTCAAGACCAGCTCTCAACCAAGGCTAAGGGCCTGGTCTGCATCACCAAAACATTAAGATTTTAGGTAGCATTTTCTGTTCCTTGGATAAAGCTAGTATCCTTCCCAGTGTTTCTCCTCTCCCTAAAGCAGCTGGCACAGTGTGGGATGTCATGCTTGGTATAAGCCACACATCATTAGACATAAAAGATAGGTTTTTATAGGGGCTGCATTAGCGCAGTCGATAGGAGATTCACATTCAGATGCGACTCGCTGCAGCCCACAGCCGGTGTTTGAAACCGGGTGGTTCCTGGGGTTCACCCAGTCTTTAGGAAACAGGTACCAGACTTAACACTCGGGTAAATGGAGGAATGTCACAGTAGCTACAGAGTTGCGTGTGGACTGCGACATAGGCGGACAGTTTCTTATCAACTGTCTGTACTGGTAGCAAGAACTGATTCCGGCAATTCTGACTGGTTCCCGGTGGAAACAGGAGTGAAGCAAGGCTGCGTCCTATCGCCGATGCTTTTTGGTATAGCAATCGACTGGGTCATGCGCAAGTGCATAAATAACGCAAATTTAGGCATTACATGGGTTGACAAAATTCTGGAAGACCTAGACTTCGCCGACGACATAGCACTCCTGAGTTCAGACACACAGACGCCCAAGAAAAAATCAATCGACTCCAGAATTTCTCAGAACAAATTGGACTCCAAATTAACACCGCAAAACAAAAAAATTCTAGACCTTACCAACAGTTCAGTTGATATCACGCTGAACAACAACAGCCTTGAAAAAGTCAAACAGTTTCACTTATCTAGGGAGCAAGATGTCATCTACAGGAGATACCGCACCAGAAATATCCATTTAGAATAGCACTGGCATCTAGTGCGTCTACATCTGGAAATCAAAGACACTTAGCAAACACACAAAACTCAGATCAGTGTTTCTTATAACCTATGGATGCGAGAGCTGGAAATCAACGAAAACTCTAGACACAAAATTAGGTTTTGAAAATAAATGCTTAGAAGAATACTAAATTTCAAATGGATTTACACAAATAAGGCAAGAATCCAGGCAAGAGTATGTGTCTAATTTTATACGAAAACGCCGCTGGAACTATGTCGGACCACGCCCTTAGAATGGATAAAATCAAGACTTCCTGGTACCAGAGGCCCTCATTTGGACACCACAGGGGGAAAAGATCTCGTGGAAGACAAGGGAAACCTACGTAGAACTTCATCACCTCGCTCATACTCAAACATCTACAACGGATTTAGACCGCCGTGCATGGAGAGTAGCCCTACTCGACACAAGAGGAAAGACTAACTAACCAACTACTGTTATATAAGAAACTAATATTTGATTCTTATAAGATATACTTCTGTACAAATAGTCTGTATTTGTATTCCATGTTTTTGGAAAGTATTATTTTTTTTATTGCTTTGCAGTTGTTTTTTTTTTTTTTTTTCATTATTTCCTTTTTTTTTTGATCAGATATATCATGAAGCAACTGTGGTGAATCTCCTGGAGACAATGATGTTTTACAAGGAAACTTGTGAGGTGGCTGATGAAGCAGTTCTTGATCTTGTTGATTACTGCTATCGCAAGTTGTGTTATTTAGCAGCAAGGTAAGTAGTCATTGTCTTTTCTACATACCTATAATCGAGTCACCTAGAATAATATTACTGTTTATTTTTAAGGCATTTATACATCCCCTGATCCAGTGGTAGGCAGTGTTTTTTCATCAGCAGTAAACTCTGACAAAAAGTTCTCGTTATTCACCCGCTTCTAGACTTCAGTCTTGATCTAGAACTTGAGATTTGCATGAACATCCATATTATACAGATCTGGCTTTTTAGTATGCAGACTGGTGGTTCCTTGCCTCTAAGGAAGATATACTCTGGCTTCAAAAGAATTTTCCCTAATTAGTTGACTATTAGGACATGGTTGTTAGGGGGCACTGTGTCTGTTCCTATTATCCCCTGAAACAGGGTCCTGGAACAAACACAGTGAGTTAGAAATGTTTCAATGCAATTAAATTATCACACCCTGGTAAATCCCTAAGGCCTTTTAAATAACGCAAGAAATAAACATTCATATGTTTTCATGAGCAGTCAGACAAAATAGTGGTGATTAACAAATGGCATTTTAGTCAAACGAAAGGAAAGTCCACCTTAAATTTATAAACACACTCTATAATTAGTATTTGTAACTGTACATCTAATTATATTAAAATTGTTTATTTTATTTCTGATTTAAATAATTAATAATTTTTTTTTAACTGATATTATTTAAAATAATTGTGTATAAATAAAACTTTCAGACTGCAAAAGTCACAGTCCACCATGATTGATAAATAATTATAGTAGTAGAGTTGAATAAAATCACATGAATATAATCAGTTTTAAAGAAATCTCTGACAGGATACTGAAATAATATAAAGAACGTGTTGTTACTTTATAATTATTACACAACACAAAAATGATTTGCAATATCTGTCAGGTACACGCAGTAACATTTTATTGATGTCTTCTTTTACAGGGGTCAGAATGAAGAGGACATTTCTTTCCCAAATAAAGAAATACATTCACTGGCTTCAAATAACATGGAGGTGCCATTCAGTTGATTTTTGTTGAAGTTTATGTTTATAATTTGTAAATGAATGAATCAAGTACTTCTTCTTCTTCTTCTACGCGTTCACCAGCTGTAAACTTTGGCGGAAGGTTCTGGTTGCTCGTCCACTACTGAACTGCAGTCCTGCTCCAGAACCTGAGTGTTGCGTGTGCATCAGTTTTACAGATCTCATTCTCTTGAATACAGATTGTTGGTTCCTTGCCTCTCCGGCTGATGGACTCAGACTTCAAAGGAAGCTCCCCAATTAGTCGACTCTTACGACATGCTTTTGGGGAGGCAGTGGGTCTATTCTTGTTTTCCCCACAATGGGGCCCCAGAACCCACACGGGGGATTCAAGTACTGACATCACTGCACTTAGGGCATTCCCACATGTGCTCTTTGTCATCTTCTTCTTTCTTTAGTAGCCACCAAGAGTTGGCATGCTAATAGTACCAGTTGTAACCTGATCTGTAAATAGAAAGTAAAGTGAAGGTCCCTTTTCCATGCCTTTTGGTGTATTTGGAATATAGGGCTAAACCTATACTTCTATAAACCAATCGGCACTTTGTGGGTGATGTTGTCAGCATCACGCCGGCCGCCTTTACTTTCCAGGACTGCACCTGAATCCCACTCAAGGCTGGGTCGACCTGGGAGTCAAGGTTATTTTTTTTTAAAGTCCAGCTCCGTCAGGATGCAACCCATGACCTTCTGATCCACAGGCAGGCGTCTAGCTGCCAACGCCTTGGCGACTTCCCTGTAAATGGAAGTGCAGTCCTATTTACGTTTCCCCACCAAGGAAGAGAGTGACTTTCCTTGCCATTCATTACTCATTGGGTCGCAGAACCTGTTGCGGGGGTGGTATGATATGGCTTGGTTTGGCATTCGCTCAACGTATATAATGTTTGAAGAGTCGGCATGTTAGTAGTACCAATTGTAACCTGATCTGTAAATAGAAGTGTGGTCCTGTGGGCGCTCTTTTGCTTTTTTTTTTTTCACAATCGGGCACTTGTTCTGTAAATTTTCATTATGCCAGTGTGATACTAGTGTGTGTTTGTGTGTTTTAAATATATTACAAGCCTCAATCTTATTTATATTATCAGTTTCTGTTTCATTGTAAAAATGTATTTTTTGAAACACTTTTTCTGTCTTTACATTCTTATTACTCATGTGTTTTTTTTTTTCTTCACACATAAAAAATTAATATTCAGAGTAATACATTCTGAAGAGATAACTAGTTAGAACAGCATCCACCGAGGGACTGAAAGAGTTAAACAAATCAATTTATAATTAAAATAAGTAATATGCCACTTGAATTAGATAAAACAGTGCACATATTCTGAGTCAGCAAGGGTAGAAAGGGAAGAGGATAGAAAAGTGTACACATATTTCTTTTTCATATACACCTTTAGTTACTCATGTAAAGACAATTCTGGGTACTCCTGTCAAATCCGGACGAAGAATAAAAAGCCTTGGACGACTTAGTCAGAGTTCTCTCCCTTGGCCGCACTCCAAACAGTGATCGGAAAAGCCAACGAAACAAATGACACAAGCAACATGGCAGTTAGACGCACTCACATAACTAACATCGTTCTTCTGACGCACGACTTAGTTGCCACGGACGTAACTCCTGCAGACCTGTATGCCATAATGACAGATAACTATGCGTGGTTGCGGTGGCTAGCTGAGCATAGTCTGATAAGGAACACGCAACCGTGTACCTCGTGCACGCGGTCAATGTCCCTATGTCCCCGGCAAGACTGTAGCGACAGATACGGTTGGCGATGTTATCGCTGCTTCGTCGACGCCGTACACAGTCACATACACACACAAACAATTGAGGGCCTCTGGATGCTGGTCAAACGTACAATTCGCCAACGATTGGGCACCAGCCGCACACTATTGGCGTCATATTTAGCAGAATTTCAGTGGCGCCACGCCCACAAACATCAGATTGTCGGCCACTATTTCGAAACCCTACGTCAAAATTTTCACATCTAACCCTAACCCTATCCCTAACCCTACCCCTAACCCTAACCCTAACCCTACCCCTAACCCTAACCCTAACCCTACCCCTAACTCTAACCCAACAACCGCATGATGACTACACAACCATTCACGATGCCTCACGCAACCGTACGCAACCCTGCACGCAACCATATGATGACCACGCATCCCTTCACGATGCCTCACGCAACCGTACGCAGCCCTACACGCAACCGTAGGATGATAGGTAAGTGTGTCGTTTGTTTCGTTGGCTTTTCCCATCACTGTTTGGAGTGCGGTCAAGGGAGAGAACTCTGACTAAGTCGTCCAAGGCTTTTTATTCTTCGTCCGGATTTGAACGGAGAGCCCAATTCTGGTCTAATTTATCATAATTAAAAGTATTGCAAGTATCAGAAAGAGACAGTCATCATGTTTTGGCCAATATTACGAGAAGAAAGAAATCGGAACATGTGATGTCAGGAAAGATTATTCTGTGAAAACAACAGCAAAAAAAATCCACCACATTCAACCCACTGTGAACAGTATCAGTTATAAATGTGGTCTGCTTTCTTTGTGCTAATTATGTTAGCTAATAAATGTTAACTGTACTAAAACTAGTGGCTTGGGAGAAACGTTGGGGAGTGGGCTGTTATGCACTACACACACATATAGACATACATGTACAATTACATATATATATATACAGATAACATGCACATCTGCAGGCCCACATGAGAATTCATGTATATGTGTGTGCATACACACACAGGTATGTGTATATACACACATACATTTAAGGAAGCCAGCGTGTGGTAGCAGCTAGATGCTTGCCTGTGGATACAGTTAGCGTGCTCACACATCCTACCTACCTGGACCCATTCCTGTGCCTTCAGAAGTATTGAGTATATGGTGCTAGTATCATATTTTTATAAACGTACTGGCACTTGATGGTGCATCACATATCAAATTATTTGTCTTTATTTTTATTTTTTTTTTGCTCTTTTAAATTAACTTCTCAGTTGCCAACTAATTTAATACCAAGTTTTCACCACAAAATTTAAGTCACAGAAAGTGTTATGCCCGTGGGGACCCCCCTATAAAAAATCAAAAGTGCATTAATTTAACAAATGTTAAATACACAGTAAAGTGGTCATGGGGGAAGCCAGATTTTTTTTTTCTGTGACCAAATGTGAACAGTAAGAGGACACAATATATGATAGCAGGGACTCATGAGAAAAAGTATTCACACATCATGTATTGCACTGAACTGAAAGAAATAGATCTCACAGTTAAGTTATTGCTTAATGCGTAAATGTTTTCAGTAATAATAATGTTATTTAATAAAGTTGTAGAGTTAGTTACATAAAGTTTCATCCATTTTTGTTTTTTAAATAGGATTTGGAAAGACAAGAAAGATCACTAGAGTTTGAAATTAGCATTAAGGCTCTTTCCCTGCTGAGATATTTTACAGACCATTTAGATTGGTAAGAATTTACTTTAATTTACCTTTAAGTCTGATTTCGTCCATTGGCAAACCTACCAACCTCCTGAAATCTTCTTCTTAAGCAATCTCTGGTCATGCACTTATTCGACTAAAGGCCATAAACTGGGATGTCAGCTCAAGGTTGCTTAGGTTTCCATGAAGCTTAGTTGTTAGGCCTACTAGGAGTGGCCACATACTATTTTACATGATATGTATTGTGGTCTATTCAGCATGAAGACACAGGCAAAGAGCTGATTGGCTCATACATAATTTATATGGGTTTTCGTTTAAATCTGCTGAGATAAAGTGCATAAAACATATCATTATCATCACACACCTTATGCTTGGTGACATAGGTAATCATGTTGTCAACTTTTTTTTTTTTTGTGGTTTTTTTTTTAACTTAACCATTAGGAATCTTTCATTCCTCACTGCTAGCATATCCAAAGATTTGTTTCTGTCAATTCACTTCTCCCTTTGAGACACTCAGTGTTTCTCTCTATCGCAATGTCTTCCAGACCCACGGAGAGTGCAGCCTACGTCCCATGAGAGAGTGCAGCCTACGTCCCATGAGAGAGTGCAGCCTACGTCCCATGACTACATGCAACCTATAATATATGCTGCATACAGTCGTATGACCTAGGCTGAATGCAGTCCTGGGACATAGGCTGAGGCTGTTGAGTAGGGGGGTTGGGGTTAGGGCCAGTTCTAAATATTCTGGGACCATTAAAAGCGCTCTCATCGTTGAATATAGAATATACAATATGGCCGGCCGCTGACAACTACGAGTAAAATACTATGTGTTGCTGGCCGGTCACCAAGCGTGACACCCCAGCAACAAAGGACAGGCCCTGCAACATGGTGACACATAAGGGAATAGGGAAGTCATTCTCTTCTGGGTCGGACAATGTTACTACAACCACAGTTTGATTGTTTATAATCTGTAATAGACACCAGTCTGTACATATTTATAATATATGCAATACATAAATTCAGTAATTAGAAAAGCTGCTGAGTAAGGAGTTAATTAGCATTGTAAATTACTAGTTTTTAGAAAATATAAAAATCTTAAAGAGACAAATCTAGTAGCAGAACAGTAGGAATGAGATAAAGAGACCACATTATAAATCTATTGTGAGTCTTGATGACATGAGAACACCCTAAAAAATTACGAAACAATCAAAATAAATGTTTTATATGTGCCAAGAGACGAGCCGCAAGCATGAACCAGCAGGCACGTGAAACAAATGACAGCAAGTATCACAAATGACCAAAATAGAAAAATAATGAACATATCAATAGTTGAACATAGTCAAAACACCTTTTAAGATCGGATTATATGTCACAAGAATTGTTACTGCAAATATAAAAATGTACCTGATTTAAACACTGTACCGTGAAAATATAAATATTTTTAATTTAGGGTGTTTCTTAATTCCCATTTGTCAATTGGATACCACAGTATTTATAGTAACTTGAGTACATACTCGTATTTTTTTTACTTATTACTTTATAATTTGGCTAAGTAAAAAAAAAAAATTAACATCATTTTTCAGCCTTCCACTGAGTGTCATGACAAGAATACTGAACACCCATGACATTCCTATACTACTTGTTCAGCTGGTTGAGTCACCACCATGGACAAAAAAGAAAGATGGTTTGTAATTTAAGCTTTTGCTTGTTGAATGTTTATACCCGCTGTTCATTATGAATACTGTTTATTATACACTAATAATACAGCCTGGGATGAATTCTGAATTTGTGATCATTTACAAGTTTTAAAAAAAAAACGAAATGACCCTTTTTATGTCAGTGGTGCACAAGGATATGTGCTAGGCTCATATTTTTATAGACCAACTGGCACTTAGTGGGTGATTTGATCACCATGGTGCGACCCACTTTTACTATCCACAACATTATTTTGGTTCAGGTCAACCTGAGAGGCAAGGTCAGTTTTGAAAAATTCCGACTCAGTGCAGATCTGAATCAAAGACCTTCAGGCCAGCAAGCAAGCATCTAGCCACTACCCTACCGCAGCTCTAATAATTTATCAAAACAAAAGAATAATACTTTGAAAATTATGTTGACTTTAGAGTCCTGCATTGTTAATACTTTTGTTATTTTTTAAAAAGTAATTTAGGATTTTCATATTGTAAATAAAACAAGATAATAAAAATTGTTGGTCTCTTTTTCTCTACTTAGACCTGGTTGAGGCTCACCATGTTTGACTTTTTCTTCTCTGTCCAAAAAATTTGCTTCTGCCTTCTCCTCAAGATGTTTCAGAAATGTGATATTGTCTGGTCATTCCAGACAGTGCTATTCTGGCCAGAACCTGGCATACTGATACTCATTGGTAGTCATGGCTTTGTCTTGAGAGACTCTGAAAACCTGTGTATTGATAAGTTGATGACGTAACCGGTTCACTTTCTTTGACTCGTACATTACTTATACATGACTACATATTGTATTACAATAATCATTATGTTTCTAGGGAAAATTTACAAGTTTCTTGAGAGTAAGTGGCAAGAAGTCAAATCTGAAGATATCCTGAAAATGACAAAAACTGAAGGGCAGGTAATTTAATATCTGTTTTTGCTTTAATTTGTAAAGAACAGACAAGTTGAGTGTCCATCAAAAATAAGGACAGAAAACAATGTTTGGTCTAAGCTGATTCAATCTGATCAAAGACTATGGAGATACAAGCAACTTTAAGTTTAATGCTATCTTCTTTCAATGTGTTTAATGTTGAAGTCTTGAAGGTGATGATGAATTTGGCCGATGTAGATAGAACCAATGTTTTCTTTGAAGTTGGAGCACATCTGCCTGAGAGGCAAAGCTAACAATCAGCAAAGAAATAATCCAGATTTGTAACATAAGTGGATACAACACTCGTACCGGAACAGTATCAAAGCCCAGAGATGGACGAACAACCAAGATTTTCCACTGGAGTTTACAGCTGGTAATCATGAAGAAGAAGATGATCTGCTTTGTGTAGACAGTCTTTGTTATATGCTCTAACTGCTGATGGTAGCCTAACATTAATCACAGAAATCAGACTTCTGCTGCTACCAATCTTTTCCTAATTTTGTATTCATTCACATCTCAAGATTTACTGCAGGCATCATAACAGGTTTACTTGAAATTTTAGTACCCTCTGACATTTAACAATAATTGATTATGAATATATATCTACCTCAAATGCTGGCCTGTCTGATATGAGATAATTCTGTAATTTAGAACCTTGTCTTAAATAAAACCGTGAAGTTGTCTAAATTTAGGCTTGAAAAAGTACCTTGAAGTTACCTACAAAAAAACACTTTGACTGAATACCTTCAAGTTGCACGAATTGCCTGTATTTAGTACTTTGATGGAATACCTTAATGTGGTACCTTGAGTTTACCTGAATTTAGTACCCTGAAGTTGCCAAAATTTAGTACCTTCACTGAGAACCTTAAAGTTACCTGAATTTAGTGCTTCCACTGAGTACCTGGAAGCACAGCCAGCTCTAGCAGTAAGGCCAAACAGGTCTACGGGACTTTCAATTTTGTTAGGCCGAGCCAAGGCTGGTCTGTGCTCACCATTGTTATCGAGTAAATTTATTCACAAATTAAACTACAGTTTAATTAAATTGCAACATATTTTATCATTGTCATTATTCTATTTTCTAACGGTTCACTTATTTATCTTCATAATGATAATTCATTCAATAAAATATGTTGCAGGTTAATTAAACTGTAGTATAATTTGTGTATAAATTTACTTGATAACAATGGTGAGCACAGACTCACTATGGACCAGCCTAACAAGACAGGAATTTCTGTAGACCTGTTCTGCCTTACTGCTGGAGCTAGCCGTGCTTGAAGTTGCTTCAGTTTAGGACCTTGACTTAGTGCCTCACAGGTGCCAAAATAGCCATGTTGACTAAAAATTTTTGAAATTGCCTGACAATTGCATGGGTATCATTTCTGATAACAATAATGCCCAGGGAAAAAAAATCATATTTTAAGTTGTTTTTAACTATATTTAGGTGTGGCTGGCCCTATTTCATTTACTCATGGAACGAGCATGTCAAGAAAAATATGACCTCAACAACTATCGTAAAAATGTTATTTTGAAGGTGAGTAATAATTTCACTATGCCATTCAACATCTGCTAAAATCAAATGCTCTATCTCATAACACTAAAATCACAGTATTTGAAATACTGATAAGACTAATTGTCCAGTATAGCTCTGAAACCAGGAGTACAACCAAAAGAGATGAAACCTTATTACAGACTTTTGAGAACAAGATCTCCCTGGTGGGGTTCCATTGTGGAAAGGAGGGAGGAGGGGGGGTTATAAGAGACCCGTTGCCTCCATAGCAAGCATTGTAAGAGTTGACTAATGGGAGATTTTCTTTAGAAGGCATTTGCATGAGAGGCAGGGAACCAACAGCCTGCATACAAATAAGCCAGGTCTATAAAATGGATGTGTACATACAACTCAAGTTCTGGAGCAAAACTAAACTTCCGCTGGAGTTTACAGCCGGTGAATGCGAAGAAGAAGAAAAAGAGAACAAATTCTTACAAGTTTTCATGTGCGAATAAAATACTATAAGAAATAAAAGTGTGGAGACATCACCTAAATAATGTTTTCTTTATCTTCTCCTTTACAACAATATCAAGTTACCTATTTAGATTTGAAAATAGAACACAAGTTTTTCACAAAATCAGTCACTTAAAAATACTTCAGTTAACCTAATATTATTTGCTGCATTAAAATAATGTAAAAATATGTGTGTTTATTTTCGTTATTGATCACAAGCTTTTACCTGTATTTAGTTGCGGACTTATCTGACAGAAGTACTTGTAGACCAGATGCCAGTTTTAGCTGAGCTGCAAAGATACCTTGAACATTTGGCCTTCATGGACCCTCCACCTGTGAAAAAGGACTTAGTTCTAGAACAAGTATGTTTGGCCAATTAATTTTTTTTTTAATTTTAAGGGTGAATTGTTTCAAAATTATATTCTTGTTTATGTTTTTTTTTTTTAAGCAATGTGACTTTAAATTGATTTTTTTCTTACTATGTATAGAACTAACAACCCCATCCCTGCATTTTAAAATGTTTCTGACATTGAGAAAATCTACATTTAAATTATTGTGTTCCCTGTATTAAGGAATGAGCACACAATACAATAATTCCTTTTGTAAGTTTAAGATATAAACACTAGTTGTAAAGTTCAGTTTTTTTATTACCACACATTCTCATTATCCACTAGATTCTTTGTAGTGAAAGTTTGTGGTAATGAATCTCCAGGGAAGTCTGGCTTGAGACTTTGTTGTACACTCTGATAGACTGTATCCTGCATATCTTGAAGTTGTCTGTCAGTTTGTATCTTTGATGATCTCTAGCTCTTTTGCCTCAGCACTTTCTTCCATCATGTTTTTTAACAATTGTTATATTATGTGATGTGGTCAAAGTGCCATGTATTTTTTATTTTTGTTTCCTTTACCAGTACCCATTTTAAATTGAATAGTTCAGGATGTTCCTTATTTGTCTTTTATTCTTCGTTTATGTAACTCCATCCCGTCTTTCACAGACCTTCATTTCAAAGGCCTCTGGTTTATGTTCCATGCTTTTGGTCAAGGTTCAGTGTTGAATACATTCAGCATTTGATGAGTTTTACTGTTAGTTTCTTTTACAGAAATCTCTTTGTCTGTCTGTTTCTCTCTCTCTCTCTCTCTCTCTCTCTCTCTCTCTCGCTCTCTCTCTCTCTCTCTCTCTCTCTCTCTCTCTCTCTCTCTCTCTCTCTTCTCTCTCTCTCTCTCTCTCTTGCTTGCTTGGCTCCATAATGCGGTTTTTTTTCCATCCAAATTGTGTGGTTTACTTTAAATTATTTATCCTTTAACCTGGAAATGTGTTTTTATTTTATGGCTCATTAGATTTATAGCTCAAGTTTGCAGTGTGTACTTGTCTTTTGCTCCTCTTGAAGAACTCTAAAACTTGTAGATGCATGTTTGTTGTTGCAGAGATCTGTTATTTTATCAACTCACAATCTTGTTATGCCTCAGTGTTTGTTTTCTCTCAAACATACTATCATATAGCTTGCTACTTTTCTTGTTTTATCATTCTTAAAGCCTTCTGTCTCTCATTTTAGTACTGAAGAAACTTATTTATTGCGTCTTTTTGGACGCTCCTCATTTATAATGGAAGATGTCTCTAGTTATTCTGTGTTCTGTCCAAATATTTGGGTTGTCCATTGTTTTCAGGAACATATTTCCTTTACTGATTTTGATGCAATCGAAAACCAAAATCTTGTCATTTATTCCGTAGATTATAAATTTTAATCACACATATAGAATTGAAAACAGAGGCAAACATTTTTTTCAGTTATAATATTCTTTTTTTGCCTAAGTACCCAAAGAAAAGTAATTCTGTATTCATCTTAATATATTTTTACTAGGTTCCAGAGATTCGGGAAAGAATACTTAAGAAATATGATGGCAAATGGACTAAAATTGCCAAATGGCAATCCAAAACAATATTCAACCAGTCTGATGATGCCATCAGAGCTCAAGCCCAAAGGTAAATTTTTTTTTTTTTAATTCATATTATTTTAAAATAAAATATTAACTCTTTAAACCCCAGCAGATTTTAGAAGTTAGATGCTCAAGAGGAAAATAAACAAATAAGGAATCACAAATGTATTATATTTAAAGAGGCTAAAGACACAGTGGAATACTCCAATGTGGGGGCCAGATCTCTTTCATTTTATCTGACCAAACGTAAAAAGTAAAAGTTAACAGTGTAGTTGAGACAAGAAAAGACTCAATCACACATTTTTGGTACTCATCATGTTCAGATTCTCTTTAATGTTTGAAGCGTTTATTTGCAGTTTAACAGATGACCACAATGAGCACAAATAAAAAGAATAAGATTCCATCTAGACCAGAGTAGCAAAACAAATACAGTAGTAAAGGTAAAGTCGGGAGATGTGAACCAGCATCATTGCATATGGTTATAAATCATAAGTGCTCTGCCACCAGTACGGACAGCTAAGAAACTGTCTGCCTGTGTTGCCATCCGCACGCAGTTCCTTAGCTAAAGGGACGTTCCTACATTTATCCCAGAGCATTAACTCTGGTAACCATTACCTAGATGGCTGGGTGAACCGTGGGAACCGCACGGTTAACAAATATGTGAAGGAGACAAATAATATACAAATACAATAGTATCACTCCCCCACACTTTTTTCTTCTACTTTACATTCACCATCTGTTAACTCCAGTGGAAAGTTTTGGCTGTTCATGAGCTTCAGGATTCTAGTCTTGATCCAGAACCTGAGTGTTACATGCACATCTGTTTTACAGATTTCACTCATTAGTATGTAGACTGTTGGTTCCTTGCCTCTCAGGTAGATGCACTCTGAATTCGAAGAAAGCTCCCAATTAGTCAACTGTTATGACATGCTTTTGGGTAGGCAGTGGGTCTATTCTTGTTTTCCCCCACTATGGCATGCTTTTGGGTAGGCAGTAGGTCTATTCTTGTTTTGCCCCACAATGGGGCACCAGATTCCTCACAGGAAATTCATCTCTGTACCAAACCATGATGATCTGTTTTCTCCTTTCCATTGTTCACTTGCTCTCAAAGGGCCTTTGCTACATCAGCCTTGTCATGAATCAGTTCACTGCCAATGGCTGCAGAGCTAGCCAATCTGTCTGCCTTTCATAACCCAACACACCCAGATACTGGAGTAAAGATACAAAGATTTGAAATAAATTTGAAGATTTAATAACATCCTTGATGTTGCAGTGTTTTACTTGCAAAACCTTTATACAAGTTTCTTGCATGCAGATGGGCCTCAACATACAACTTTAATTTGTTGGAAGAGCTAGTAGCCGAGCCACCCAAATGTGCTGTCTGTGGCCAGCTTGCCAGCAAGCGCTGCTCTCGTTGTCAGAATGAGTGGTATTGTCGAAGGTGAGTAACATTTTCAGTAAGTTCATCAGCTTTGCCAGAAAATTAATAATCCAGGTCATTCATGTATTTATCTCTTTGTTTTTCCTTTGCTTTTTTCCCCCCCATTACATTTGTGATTTTCTAGGTATCGTTTTGGCAATTATTATATTATTCGTCTTGCCGTTGTTGTTATAGTGCAATCCTGTACATACTACAAGGAACCTGAAGCCCTGACTAACAACTATCTGTCAGCTGCTATCAAGCTTAATTAACATATGGTTAAACCCTTTGACCTGCAGATGTCACTAATCTGGCAGTGACATTCATTATAAATCCCTGTATGCTAAACCGGCATTGTTGCATAGGCCAGTCCCTGACAAGCTTAGTTAAAGGCATTGGTTCTGTTTATGCCTGTGCACTGTCTAGGAGAACTGCTAGGTATTATTTAACAATATAATAGCATTTGGGTGTGGTTACTGAGAAAAATGTTGCTTTTTTAAAGCCATGCTGTTATAATTCTCCTCCAGTCTTCAGTAGCCACAAAATAACGAGGTCCCAGTTTATTCCAAAGGGTTTCTGAGGTTAAAGGCTTAAAAATCAAATTAATTGGTTTCAGAGCCAACAGGTGACCCAAAAGCTAGTGGAAGTTTTGGCGCACTTACCTCATAATTAGATAAAACATTTTTCTTCTACTTTTGAGGTAAGTGCATCAATCCCAGGTATGCTCAATTGTGAGTGTCTAATTATGGTTTCATTTTTATAAAGTATACTTTCATGAGACAGATTCAACCCACAGTAGCAGGCTCTATCTACCCCTGGATAGTTTTTCTTTCATAACAATTTTGCCATGTCAGTGATCTTTTAAGACCTTCGCCTGCAAACCCGAAAGTTGTGGGTTCAAATCTGCATTGAGTGGGATTTATTTTTAAAGTGATCTTGGCCTCCATATTGACCAGCCTAAAATGGGTAACAAGTAAAATTATGGGAAGTTGACCACATCACCCACTGAGTGCCGATTAGTCTATAATACATAGGTCTAGTACTGTCTTTTGTGTGTGTGTGTGTGTGTGTGTAGTCATTATTGAAAAGACTAGGTATTCAATCTCACTACCCAAAAGACCAGACCAAGGAGACTTGAGACGTCAATAGTTTTATAAAATTCAGTTCTGTGGTTTAGAATTTAGTGAACATGTTTCACAATCCCTGATGTACCAGGATTTGATTTTCATGGAAACAGCTTTACCAGAGTCATACCATGGAAGAGATTGGGGCTCAGTTTGTAATATTCTCAGTGAAAGCTCTGAACTCACATATCCACTGCAGCTAACCTCTTCTGTGAAGATGGCACAAAAGAAAACAATTTTTTTTAAACAATTCTCATTTTTATGATGGGATTTGAATCTTGGATACCTTCAAAGCCTGGGTGGACACAGTAACCTCTTAGTCATGTCTTTCTCTTCTTCATAATTAAATCTTAGTCATGTGGTGCAGTCATTATCTCACCAGTCAGAAACTTATTATAGGTCATTGTGTAACTGTTATCTACATAAATAACCATCACTGTGAAAAATAAATTCCTTTTTAGTTTCCAACAATTTGACCTGCGCTAAAACTAAGTAATATTTTAACAGGGAATGTCAAGTTAATCACTGGAAGAAACATAAGAAGGTCTGTGACTTGCTGTATGATGCAGAGAAATTGATTGAACATCAGGAAGGGAAGGACTGAATAGTTTTTATCATTGCTTTGTCACATTTTTTTGGGAAGGGGGGGACATCTTTTGTTTGGTTCTCTGCCATATTTATTTCACATTTTCCAAAACTTCAGGCATATGGAAAATGTAGTGATGAATGTCCAGCTTAAATTCTCATTAATTTGATTTTAATTTAGTTACAAGAGTGTTTCATAATTGTATGTGTTCAAATAAATGGGCACTATTGCAGTATAATAAGATTTTAATCTTTTTTATAAACAATATGTTTTTAAGTTTTCAGAAGTGAACACAGTGTTATCACAGTTTACACAAGATGTCAACTTGTTAACTTGAAAATATTTAGAATTTATTTAGAATAACTTTAAAAAAAGTTGAAGTGGCCTAATAATGCAATACATATTTTCAGTATTAATGTAATTTAAATATTAACATTCTGTTACCAGTGTGCATTCCAAACAATCTGTGGTGTTTGGATTGAGCAGTTAAAATAATTAAACATTGAGACTTCAGGTAGATCTGTTTTTCCAGACTGGGTTAAAAAGCATCTAAATTTATTTTTGGTGGGGGGGGGGGGGGGGGGTAAACAGTTACTATTTATATTCTAATATTTCTGTCTTTAAATAGATCTCTTCCTCTAGTGCTACCTGTTTTCACTTAATTCTAAATAATGTGTTTATTTTAACTAGGCAGCATTGTGCAAATTATTGAAAGTACAGACAGATGTACAACATAGCAAGAAAATGAATATAGTAAACACCAGTACCTTGAAAGTAATAAATAATTTTGCTGTTAATACAGTTGAATTAGATGTTAAAACCAGATTTAATCTAAGTCGTGAAGATTATGATGATCCTAATTGCTAATGTTTGTTTTGTAATTGTAAAATAGATAAGAAAATCTAGTCAGTTAAAGAATAAAATGACTTACTCCATTCATAAGAAATTTATTTTTGATTTTCTTTTGGTGTAAATGTGTTAATGGAACACTTTAATTGATCGGAATGGTAAAACCTTAATGTGACTATATTTTCTGTTTAAGGATGACAGATAGAGTTAAGATTAAGAGAAAAAGAAGCCTGTGTTTAGAATTACGTTTAGAATAACTGTGTGTATAATATGTGTAGTGTGCAGGCATGTGTATGAAGGCTCACATTTTATAAGAAGGGCACACATATTTGAACATGCAAATAATAACCTAAATCAAGAAATGGTGCAAAGCTTAACTATTTGCCCCACTGATGTTCAGCCTCTTATAAAGCAGTTGCTTTGTCCATGACAGGTAACCCCGTACTCGCAGTTCCAGTTTTAGAGCAAATGGGTCAGCCATGCTCCATTCCTGTGTCAATGAAAACTACACAGAATTTGCATCAATGTTTTGTAGCATGGTAGCTGGCACACTTGCCTGCCAGTCAGGTGGTCATGAGTTTAAGTTCTCACTGAGGCAATCTTTTTTTTTTGTAAATTAATTTGTGTGTGTGACTTGGGCTACCAGGTTGGCCATCTCAAATGAGTAATAAGAGAATATCCTGGGAAGTGAAGGCACATTGTGTTGTGATGTTCACTGTATCACACTTCAGGTGCCAATTGGTCTATAAAAATGTGTGGCTAGCAACAATTTCCCAAACATTTTAGATGTGAAACTGTTCCTTGCTTTCCTATACTTTGTGTGAGTTTCTTTCTGTATTTTTGTTTTACCTTTCCCAATTTTTCAAACATTTCAAATCCATGTTTGGGCAGCTAATTAGAAGGATTACTTCTTTTTCTTTATGATTCTTCCACTTCTGGACTTTGGTCTTGATCCAGAACTTAAGCTTTGCATGCGTATTCGTTTTACAGATCTGGCTTCTTTGTTTGCAGACTGTTGATTCCTCACCTCTCTGGCAGATGCACTCCATTTATAAAGATAAATTATTTTTAGGGAGGTTGTGGATCTGTTCTTTGTTCTCCAAAATTGAGCTTCCATAACCCAACCAGGGAGAAGGATTACTAATTGTTCAGTTTTTACTTAATATCATAATTTTCAAAATAGACTAGTCCCCATGATGATTTACCCCAGATTGTCAGATCTACATCTTGAATTGTTTGTTTCAATAAACTATACTACAGTTATGAATTCCTTACAGAATTTATTTTCAATGTATTGTCATGTGTCTGCATAATTCTAAATTTCATATGTATGTTGTGTGTATGTTGTAATAAACAGATATTGTTTAGGATATGTCATATTTATTTTGCCATACTATGATAAGAACGAAACTGGACAAAATATGCCATGACAACTTTAAATACTTATGGAAAGAGAGATATGTAAGACAATTAAGATTTTCTTCAGCGATCTCTGGTCATGCGCATAATCCACTGTGGGTCATAAACTGGGATGTCTTTTCAAGGTCTCTTAGGTTTCCCCAAAGCTTAGTTGTCAGTTCTACTGGGTGTTGCCATATGTCGCTCCGCAGCTCCGCCAGGAGAGGACAGTCTTGCAGGACATGTTCTCGAGTCTGTTCAGCACGAAGGCACCGGCAGAGAGCTGTTTGGCTCATACCTAATTTATGTGAGTGTTTATTGAGTCTGCAGTGTCCAGTGCGTAAGCGAAAAACTGTGACTTGGTCTGTTCTGTTCAAGTGTTTCAGAAATTCTTTTTCGTAGTTATAACCAGTGTTGGTTTTCCAATCTGTTTCTGATTTTCTCTTAATGAGAGTTTTGACTTCTGGAAAAGATAGTTGCTGGTAGGTCTGTGGTTTGTTACTGCCTTCCTTGGCTAAAGCATCTGCGCTTTCATTGCCTTTGATGCCACAGTGTGACGGAATCCACTGCAAGTGAATTTCTGCCTTATTTGACAACATAGCAAGTTCATGTGTTAGACTTTGTAGTGTGCTGTCGGTAGGTTTGGACTCAAGGGCCTGTATAGCTGACAGTGAGTCAGTGAGAAAAACTATCCTGCCTGCTGTGATTTGCAGATTGTTCATATACTGTGCTGCCATCAATAGGGCTGAGAGTTCTACCTTGTAGTTAGAGCAAGTTCGTCCGGTGGGGGCTGCTAGGGACACAGTAGTGGCATCTGGGTGTTTTATGTAAACACCTGCCCCACCATTCGTAGTTGCCTCTTTTGCTGATCCATCCGTGTAGATTCTGGTCCAGCTGTCCTGTGGGAACATGTTGTTGAGGTGTTCCTTTGTGAATGCTTTCTTCACTAAAGCGGGCTCAGCATCTTTTTTTCCCAGGTTCGGGATGGATGTTGACACATTGAGTGTCAATAATTCGGAGTCCCAAAGATCAAAAGATAGCTCTTCAGGTGTAAATTCTTGGTT